GTCGAATTCTCTAGGGAGGTTTGCTAATGCGAGATTGTCGAATAGCCCAAACTATGACGTGGTGAGACAGAACGATGGCTTCAAAAACGTCTCGCTGGGAAATGTGCTCTCGGCCGCGGCTCCCAAGGAGCCTACGCCGTTCATTCATGCTGATGATCAGCAAGTATTCGATGCTTACAAAAATGAAGCCTTCGAAGTGCAAGTCGGTCTACACGAGCTGCTCGGACACGGATGTGGAAAGCTGCTGCAGGAGACTGAGCCAGGTGTTTTCAATTTCAATGTCAAGAACCCTCCCATCTCTCCCATTGATGGCAAGCCAATCTCCTCGTGGTATAAACCATCGGAAACGTGGGGCACAGTTTTTGGAGGTCAGTATTGCTAAGACACCGTTTTCTCAAGAGGGATTCCCCACTGACACATCAGAGCAGGCATGGGACCTTCCTACGAGGAGTGCCGCGCAGAGTCCGTGGCAATGTCTCTTTGCCCAGACTACAAGATTCTCAGCATCTTCGGCTTTGGCGACGGAACCGAGGACATCAATGGTGTGGCCGGCGACGTATTGTACGTCTGCTATCTGCAGATGGCCCGCGCCGGAGTCGCTGCTCTTGAGTTCTGGGACCCCAATTCACGCCGCTGGGGACAAGCTCATATGCAAGCAAGATTTGCACTCCTCCAGGTCTTCCTTGAAGCCGGACCTGAATTCTGTGAGCTCAAGTATAGCAAAGACGATCTGTCGGACATCGTCATCAAGCTCGACCGTACAAAGATCGAGTCTCATGGTCGGAAAGCGGTCAACGTGTTTTTGCAGAAGCTGCAAGTCTACAAGGCCACTGCGGACCTCAAGGCTGGCAAGGCTTTGTACGAGGGTATCACAGAAGTCAACGAGTTTTACGCCGAGAAGCTCCGACCAGAGGTTTTGCGACAGAAGAAGCCTCGGAAGGTGTTCGTTCAGGCGAACACTGTCCTGCAAGGAGATGATGTGGTGTTGAAGGAGTACGATGCTTCGCCGGAGGGTCTCATTCAGTCATTCGTTGACAGGGACTATATTTGAGGTGATGGATCAATCCCACTGCAGTATGAATGGTGGTAGGCGACCGATGTCTGCTCTGAGATTTGCGCTGTCATTGGAAGACGCGCCCAAAAGCAATATGTCGGACGCTTATATGCTGTGGTAGTTATTACCGTTGCCAAATTCCTGTCATAACGAATGCCGTGCGTCTAGACTTTGCCAGAACATATATTACATGTAGCCACGACGCTGCTGCATATGACTGTACGATTTCAAGCGATGCTCGACAGCTTATTGTCGACCGTGGTCATGTCGAATGATCGATCCATGCTTCAATGACGCTTTACAATGGCGTTCGCGTGCAAGTCTCTCTATACGTACTACCCCAACACTAACCCTTACCTTGAGATGTTGGCCGGTCGTCAAGATTCGAGAATGATTCGAGAGAAGCACAATCCCCATCGAGATATAATAAGAAGAGACCCATGATAGTTGTGGTAGTGTTATGTAATTTATAAAAGGATGAGTTCGTCATTCCCCTCTGCTAAATTACCCAACCTACATACATGTAGCTTTCACAATGCGAGAGCGCGATTCGCACCCGCGTGAARTTAGCTGCATTCGACCACACGCGAAAGCGATACACCCTCACATCCACATCAAATATGATGCCTCATTCTTCACATGAAATCGTCGGAGATGTACCCCTCCTCCCTGTCCTGGTTGCTCGTCTGTGCGAGATTCTCCTCGGTGTGGATATCATCATACATGTGTTCCTTTTGCCACTTGAGCTGCTGTCGCTCCTCGGCGAGTCTGGCATCCTCTTTCTTCTACCCCAAGAGTCAGCGAACCGCAGCACAACATGTTGTTGTCCAATTCTCCAGCAGCATTACCKTTTCCTGCTGTAGTATGCGCTCGCGCTTCCGCAGCTCCGCCTCACGATCTGCCTTTTCCTGCCGCAGATCGGGAAATTTCTCGACCTTGGTCTTGTTCAGGCGATTCACAATCGCATTCTCCCGCTTCTCGACGTAGACGCGCTTGACCTTTTTAGAATCATAAAAGCTGACCTGTCCAGTGGCCATGGCGCCCGTCTTCTTCAAATTGGCCCATGGTGTGTAGATGACGGTGATATTGTCCTTCTTGTTGCCCTCGATCGAGTTGGCTTTGGTGAGCTGGGCGCAGTCGGTGAGGAGTTCGGTGGGGATGGCATCCCATGTCTCGCCGTCGCGCATGCGCAAGTAGACGTGGGCCGACGACAGGTTGTCGACGTGGAACCACACGTCCTCGGGCCAGCCGTGCGCAATCAGGTCCTCATCTCTAGCCCGGTCAGCATCAGCGTGGAGCTGGTCTACTGTGTAGCTGTGATGCTAGGCGGTCTCACTTTCGACCTTGTCCTTGCCGACGTAGATGAACGCCGCTGGTTCGACAATGGCACTCTTGTAGTAGAGGACCATGATGGCGCTGTTTGGTGACCAAAAAGGTTTCCGTGTCGTTGTCGTCTGGACTTGAAAAAGCAGCTGATTCCCGGTTTTGCATGTGAAGATGAAGATGAACTTGGGGCCACGACTTTTGACACACGCTGCCCCTGAGCTTCACATACCTCCCTCTACATACACGCAAGAGAAACCTAAGTACATCAACACTTGCTTGATGGCCGCGGTACTCTTCTACGCCACAATCGTGTTGAGCGCGCTACTATTCGTGCTGGCATTGGACATAATGGGCCTTCTCTCCAGAACCAACCACTTTGATGTTGATGGACGGGTAAGCAGAAGCAGTGTTGTTACGCGAATTTCGGAGACTAACCGTTGTGAACAGACGGTGGTCATCACGGGCGGCTCTCAAGGCATGGGAAGAGGTTTGGCAAAATTGTTGGCTCAGAAGGGCGCCAATGTTGTGATCGTTGCGCGAACCCAGAAGAAACTCGACGATGCTTTGAAATATATCTCGGTGTGTACCATTGAGCCAGACTCGCAGGTGATATCATCTAACACACTACAAAGGCAGCCGCGAAGAACCCACAACACCAGCGATTCCTTACAATCAGCGCAGACGTGACCAAACCCGAGGAGAACACCCGGATCATCAACGAGGTCACTGTATGGAACCATGGCAATCCTCCGGACGTTGTCTGGGCCAATGCTGGGATGAGTGAGCCCCGACTCTTCCTAGACACCCCCGTGGCAATTCTCAGGTCGCAAATGGATGTCAACTACTTTGCAGCGGCGTATCTGGCCCAATCGACTCTGAAAGCCTGGATCAAGCCCAATACGACCAAAACTTCGAGCAGTACAAAGCCGCGCCATTTCATCGTAACATCAAGCACAGTATGCTTTGTTGGAGTGGCAGGCTACGCGCCTTATGCACCTCCCAAATCTGCGATGCGCTCTCTTGCGGATACTCTGCGCTCTGAAGTGAATCTCTACAACGGAGCGAGAAGGAAAGACCCAGTAAATGGCCCGCCAGCAGACATCAAGATTCACTGCGTTTGTCCTGGTACCWTCACATCGCCTGGCCATGAGAACGAGGAGAAAACCAAACACGAAGTCACCAAGATCCTCGAAAAGGACGACCCTGCCCAGAATGAGGACGAGGTGGCCAAAGCTGCTATTAGTGGACTTGAAAGTGGTGGCTATCTGATAACCACCCAGCTGCTGGGACATGCAATGAGAGCAAGTGCACTCGGTGGTAGCCCCAGAAATAACTGGTTCGTCGATACCGTCTTCTCTTGGATCACTGCTATCGCATGGCTCTTCATCGGTCCGGACTTGGAGGGAAAAGTGTTCAGCTATGGCAAGAAACATGGTGCCCCGACTCCAACGTCTTGAAGATTTTCGATATTCAACATTCTGGATTCTACACTCAATCGCCTGATGATTCGAGCAACTACTTGCGACCTATTGCTACCAAAGCCGTACCTCGCATGGAACCTGGCTGCTCAGGTGCAACCTGCTGGAGACCCTCCAACACGAGTTGTTCGAGCCTTGTACTTTCCTCCTCCGAGAAGTCCTTGACAAGGTTCGCCATGGCGGGCATTTTTGTGAGTAGAACGTCGACAAAAGCATCGTGCCCTCCAAACTCCATTGTCACCTCGACCTCCTCAGCGTTGACGTCTCGGAATCCAGCCTTTTCGAGTTCTGCTCGCAAAGCAGCAACGCTCCTCCACTCCTCAGGGATGRCAGGCATTAAAATGCCTGGTCGGATCTTCTCCACAAGTCTCATAAGATTCATCCACTCGCTGTCCACCCAGGAAGAGCAGCACAGGACCCCGTCGGGCTGGAGAACTCGTCTGCTTTCACTCAGACATTTCTGTGGGTCCGGAGTCATCTACATATGAAACATTAGCCGCGAGCTCTCTACAAGTTGCATTTGATCCCAACTCACAAAATAAACGAAACCTGCCGTGACATGACTCTGCGACTCATCCAAGACGCCTTCAAGATCCATTGCATTCCTCACTTGGGCATCTAATCTGTTCCACGGAGACTTTGAATCTTTCGCAACTTCCTCTGCCTGGGATTTATGAACTTGTTCAATCATAGGGCCTGAGAAGTCGGAGCATGATAGTGAAGCTGAAGGAGGTATGCTGGAGCCGTAGTCACTGATGACTCGGGTGATGACCGATCCAGGACCGGTGCCGTTGTCGTAGATTCCTGTTGCTTGAGAGAAGGGGAGCATGGCGTTCATTCTATCCAGCATCACAGTGATGGGGCTCATGGTCACGCCAAACGTAAGCTTCTTGTAGAGTTGCGCCGCTTCTCGCCAGTCGTCGCCGGTGACTGATGATGTGTTAGCTTTCGTTGTGTGTGGGAGAGAGGTGTGCTTGGAGACTTACCGCCATCGTGGAGGGTGGTCATATTTGTGTATGGGAGTTGGAGATGTGTGTTTGAATAAAGTACTTCTGGGTCTTGACTGCTGTGCTTTGTTTTTGGGATTGTCGTTGGGATGTTTGAATGCCTATGATGTGTGATTCATGGCTGCTTTTATATATACATATCAAGGCAGCCGGAGACATTTCCAAAAGGTCTTCGGAGACATTTATCATCCGTCATAAACGGATGTCGGTCCCCCCGCTTACATATCTGGGGCTTCGTCAGTACACTTCCAAGGTTCTCCCCTCCGTTGAGGAACGAGGGGCCAGCGTGTCTGACAAAGCTTCGGATACTTAACTAACTATTGTGGCTGAAATTCATCCATCACTCGGCGAGTCAGATGCCAAGACAGGTACAGTTGGATTGAAATAATGTTGCTCATGGGGGTGTGCGGATAATCTGGCTTGTCATCATTCATGTCTATTGTGTCGTTATGAAGAAGTCCTCGCTCCGTCTCGTCAATTTCAATTGCAATTGCTTCGTTAAATCCCCAACATAATTTACTGCAACATTGAAACTAGGTTTGGAAAAGGCACCCGACTGTTCCCGCCAGTCTTTCAGGTTGACTTATAGTTACTTCCCTCCCTGCTGAACGCTACAAGATATGAACAATGAATTTCTCGGACTTCTAAGGTAGAGATGCCCTAAGTTTTCCCGCTTCCCTAAGAATCAATCACCCTTGCTGCTAGTCTTGTGCGATCCAAAAACATCCGTCGCCCAAGCCTTTGCAGCTTGGAGCTTGCCATTGGCCCAATCTAGCCATGAGCTGGACTTGCTTGGCGTTGGTTCAGAAGCATGGTCTGCAGCGTCGGTGTCGCTTGCGACGGCTGAAGTATCCGAAGGCTTGGGAATAGTAGCTTCGCTTGCAGCAGCTGAAGAGCTCGAAGGCTCTTGGGTTGTAGGATTGCTTGGAGTGATTTCTGGATCAGGTTGGGACGATGATATGCTTACGATTTTAGGAATCTCAGGCGGTAGTAGTACAGGGTGAACGATTTCGAAATCATCCAGATCCTCGGGAATGTCGACATCAGCATCTGCATCAGAATCATGTCGGCCATTGACCTTGAAAGGTAGTCGGATAGTGCCGTTGTTCTTCTTGGGCTCCAAACCAAGAGAGTCGCAGACAATGTTGTACACTTCGGTATTCTGAAAGGCGTCGACCATGCTTCCTTCAGGATGAGGAAACGCAGGACCTTTCGCGATAAAGATTGCTCGCATCAGAGGATGTTGATTGTCGTATCCGTGGAGTCCACGAGGATGATATACTTCACCACGTGCCATCGCTTCCTGTAGGTCGAATTCGTGTTTAGGCGCAATCGCCCATCCAACTCTGTTGAAACATTCAGGATGAGATTCAAGAGATGTGTGCGGTGGAACTCACCTGGGAACTATCCATAGCGGGGCTATGCGTTGGTTTTGACTGAAGTGGTATCGCTCTGGCATATTGACATCTCTTAGGTAAACATCGAATTGATCCTTGTACTTTGGCAACTGGCTTTTGGCAAACAAGTCTTCGTACATGGTCTGCAGGTGTGTCTGTGACTGGTCGTGTGGACGGAGTCCGTATAGGGGCCTGCCATGCCGCGTTCTGTCAGTGATGATCGTTGAAGCTCCGCCATCTAGGAGGAAGGATGCACGTACCATCCATCAGTATGTTCAATGAGAGCGGGATTCACCAAATCCTCCAATTGTATCAGACGATCATTTGACGTGGTGGCCATACCATGATCAGATACAACAACGATATTGACCACGTCGGTCAGGTTCCTCTCCTCGATACCCTTGAGAAGCGATCCGACCATGCCATCGACTTCTGTTATGGTACTTCTGATGTATGTGGAGTTTGGGCCATAGAGATGGCCGTCCCTGTCAACATCAGGAACATAGGCAGCGATGAGTTGAGGCCTTGGTGTTGCTTCCAACGCACCGGAATCCTTGGGCCCGGGAAGATCGAGCCAGCCAAGGATGCGATCAACCTTGTTCTGCAGAGATTCGTGCCCGTCATACTTGTCGACGTACGCTGGCTCCATCTTGCCGATATGAGCTTCACTTCCCGGCCACATATGAATAGCGGTCGGAACATTCTGTTGCTCGGCAGTCTGCCAGAGGGGCTCTGCAGCGTTCCACCACTCCTCGGTCATGGAACGCGCTGGATCTGTAAAGTAAAACTCCTTTTGGGCGAGAGGATCGAAAAAGGTGTTGCCAATGATGCCATGGGCTTCAGGATACATGCCTGTGACCAAAGTGTAGTGGTTGGGAGCTGTCACCGAGGGGAACGAGGGATTCATCCACTTTGGRGACACGCCTTGCTGGATCAGGGAGGACAGTGCGGGCGTCAAGCCACGATGTACAAAGTCCTGATGCCGGGTATCAAAGGTCAGCCCATGTCATTTCGCCATGCGTTGGGGTCGGTCTTGGGTGGCCATACTGCTCGGAAGCCGTCCAAACTGATGAGGACAGTGGTAGGCTGGAAGTCATGTGTTCCATTGGAGCGAGTCTTGAACGGAGCATAACCCACGGAAGCTTCGGTACGTGCGGTTGCAGCGTATGTGCCATACAACAAGGCCAGGAAAGCAACGCATATCACGAGATAGAGTGCCGTGAGTCGTCCACAGAATGACACATTGGTCTGCAGAACATCAGCTCAAGATGGGCCAATGTATTCTTTCTTGTACTGTATCTACACACCTTCTTCACCCCAGCTCGATCTATTGCCGTCCGCCGTATATCCTCTTGGCTCGACGTAGCACTGCTGGTTGCGCTCGACGAGCGGGTGCCTTCTTCGAGTCGCCGCTGATTTCGATGCCGTGGACGCCGCACCCGTCTCATACCAGAGTTGTCCTCCGCTGCGCCGCCCAGTAATCTCTCCGCCTCCTCTTCCCCGGTCAGAGTTTCGTGGTCGTGCTGTAAGATCTCCTCCTTGGAAGGGATATCTTCATAACCGGCCACGCTGTCTCCGTCATCCGGAACATCGTCTTGGTGAGCACGAGGATGACTCGTAGGCTTCCACTCAGGAGCGTCCATTTACTGCAAGCGAAGGATCATGCCAGGGCAAACGGCGGGTCCGGGATGGGCTGGAGGTGGATGCGCGGAACAGTGTCGGGACCTAGGGTGAGCTGCAATGTCTAATACATTGTGGGAAGAAGTTTCCTCTCTAGGCAGCACGTCCGAAACAGAGGTCTCGGGCGTGTGATTCCCGTGATAGACGTTTTGTCGGAGGTAAAGTACTTCCACGTCTTCGCCAAAAGGGATCGGCGCCCAAAACATCCATCCAGGGTCTCGGGGATATCCCACGTTGAGAGCACCACAACAAGGCGAGCAGAGGACATCGCTCTTTTAAAATGATGTGGATGACGATAGCAGCAGAGCATCAAAGTGTGATTTGCACTACTGCATGCTTGCTAGAATACATATCTCATGCACCAGCCATCAGACATCCATCTTCTTCCCCTCACCCCGGTAATGCACATTATATGTGTTGACAAGTCCGTCGCCGGTGCCATTTCCCAAACAAACAGAAAAACGCCATTCATGCTCAAACAAAAGCGACACCATGTGAACCCTCCACAAAGCCTTGAAACTCCCTCCATCGCCCCCAATCGCAAATATGGTATAGTGCTAGCCGACGCCACGCCATGGCCGGGTGAGAGCAAACTCATGACAAACCGTCTCCATAAAAATGAGCCCACGCAATAACTGCCGACAACTCGACTCGGACGCCGTCATCCTCTGATTGAATCACAGTGTCGCAAACATCGACTACCTTCCAAAGTTGTTGTTGTACTCGACTCCCTGCATCGCTGCAGCGGAGGCATTCTGGCCGACCCCTTGCGCCGCGTTCAGGGGCGGCAATGCGATTCCAGGATTGCCGTTCGCTTGCGACTGACTTAGCTGCGACGTGAAGTGGCCGTAGACGTGGGGAGCGTTGGGATCGAGACGCCGCAGGTGCTGGTGCATGACCTGCAACTCCGTCTTCATCATTTCGTTGTTCTTGCCGCACTCGCGCAGATTTTCGTTTTCGATCTGCAGACGGCGGACCTCATTGTGTAGGCTACGTTCATTGTGCTGAGTAGAGCGGATGTACTCGATCGCTGGTCAAACATTAGCGTGCGTCTTCGGCCAAGGCTCCATCATTGCGCGTTACCTTTGGTAAGAATCTCCCATTTGCTGGCTTTGGTGCCACCATTCGACGGAACGGCCTTGTTCAAATCTTCGAACAGATCCTTCATCTCGCTGCGTCGTTTTCTTTCCGCGAGCTTGTGACTGACTCGCAACTCGGGAGTTCGGCTGTAGTTTCCCACACCCTGTGGTGTTAGTCCTTCATTCTGTAGACTCTGTATTGCCCGATGCTGCATCGAATGATGATGTGTGGTATTGTTGGGGTCTACGCTTGTTAGCATGCCGCCGGGTGGGAGGAGGGCAAGAAGAAAGCTTGATGCACCCTTCTTGGAAATGTCGCTGACCTTGTGATAGTTGTGCGTCGGTCGAGAATATGCTACTCCGCATCGAGGAAGCGGCGAAACTGTTCTGCCTCGACACATTGTGGTCGACACTCGATTCGCCACTATCGGRGCCTCTCCTTTCCTCGGGAATCGCGCTGTCTGGGAAAGCCCATGCATAACCTTGAGTGGGCTTCGCTGCMGTCGGATCGGGAACGTCAGGACCCCGTCCTACGGGCATGATGGGAGGTGCTATACGAGGCGCAGGATGCCCTCGCACGCTGGAGCGTGCACTGAGCGGGGACAGCGGTTGACCATTGGGACGGCGTAGGCTGGCTGCCAGAGACACCTGAGAAGTGTTTGCGCTCTCGTAGGGGGAGCCCGGACCCATGTTACTGTTGATGTACAAGTTGCCGAGGCCTTGATGCATGCGGCTGTCGACACTACTACGTCGCGAGTCAAGATGAGGTGCCAGGTCTCTGCTGTCACGGCCATAGCTGTCACGATTAAGTTCACGTCCTAGACTGTCTCGGTTGTAGCTGTCTCTGCTGTTATAGCTGTCGCGGTTGATCTCTCGGCCAAGGTGGTCGCGATTGTAGCTGTCGCGGTTGGAATTGTCACTGAACCCTTGGTTGATGGATGGCAGAACAGAGCCCGCCGAGGATGGGACGCGCGCAGAAAGCGGCGTGTTGGGGATTGACTGCCGTGAGGGCGACTCATCAGGATTCAGCAGAGTGTGGACCTGAAGGCCTTGGCTGTTTGCAGAATTGTCTACGGATATCATTAGCACAGCTTTGGAAGACGGTTGTAGATTAAAAAAATCGCGGCACGATGCGGCCATGACCGTTCCATTGGGAAGCGGGAACGGACGTACGCTTGCTTTGAGGCTGAGGCCAAGTGCCAGAGTCTCGAACGTTGTCAGAAATTGATTGCTGGTCCGGTGAAATGGAAGCGGGTGCCGACAGACCATTGGTGAGGCTACTGATGGAGGGTAGTCCTTGAGCCTGCTGCTGGTGCTGGGCACTAGCAGTCGACGACGACATGGCGACTACACGTCGCTCGGGGGCGCTTCGCGAATGCAAAGCACGAATTGAGGTGAGGTCAGGACGGGAGAAACGATGCAATGGCCACGGGAAAGTGAGCTTCCGACGAGTAAAATGATTCTCACTCGCACAACTCGTGGCTCACTCGTGTTCGAGGCGGAAGAAGCTGCTGATGACGCTTAGCAGACTGCGCGTGCAACAAACGGGTTTTCGCAGGCGAATCGGAGAATAACGTACAGTGAAGAAGTGAAGTAGTAGCTTTGAGCTTTGGCAAGCGGCCACGGCAGCAGCAAGGTCGCGCAAGCAAGTGTTTTGGGATGAGGGTGCATGCGCCTTTGCCGGCTTGGAGCAACGCTTTTCGACCGAAATCCCGGTCCGTGGAAGACGCGGTGGGGACGAGAGGCGGCTCGACCTGGAAGGGCAGGTAAGGTCGTGAAGGCGGGCTTGTGGAGGGAAGGTGCTGTGCTGTGCGTAGGATGCGCCGAAAGGAAATCCCGGTTAGACCCAGCAGCACGTGGTGGGGTGGGGAAGGACTCCGGACACGCAGAGTAGAGCGAGGCAGAGGAGCAGAGCAGGGCAGAGCAGAGCAGAGCAGAAGTGGCGGCGTCAGGTCCTGTCACTCCAGCGCTCCGGGGGTGAGTGGTGTCCGTCGACGATTATCGCGGATGATGGACGGACAGGTCGACCGTGTAGGTACCTAGTCGCGATGGATGGATTGGAGAGGTGAGCTGGGGCTGGGGCTGGGCGCCCGCTTCTGCGACGAGAGAGAGGCAGCTAGCGTGACGTGACAAGATGCGGGATCTTGGAGGTGGCCCAATTCTCTCTCCCTTGCCGCTGCTCGGAGTCGCAAGTGGCAGATCTCGGGCGGGATTTTGCGAAAGGGAGATGTCAGAGCAAATGCAATGGTATCCGGCGAAGGCGGCGCGCAAAAGGAAGAAACACGGACGAATGTGCGCATCACGTGGCAAGGCAATGGCAAGTAGCGACAGATCAGGTACTGGCGCTGGCCGTTTCATGGCTCCTTTAGGTTCAAGTGAGATTACCTTTCACGCATCACACAGCACGCCCGAGTCCATCGACACACCAACTTCATGGAACGACTAGCACATCGTGCAAGCGTGAATAATGACTGGGAGGCGACCACCAACAAGGTACCGATGACAGCCCCGCCCGCAACAAGGGAGCACGCTCACAGCAACAAATGTCTGCCGTACGATGTGATTGTTGCAAAAACCGTGTGGTGGACTCGACTGTCTCGTCTCGATGCAGACGCTGCCCAGAGTTAGGTAAGTTACTACTAGCAACGTTCTGCCGAACGCTGGAGCCCTTTGAAGTTTGAACTCTGCACTCCGAATCACCCGCACCTCTCCAGATCCCCGGAGCCTCCGCAGCATGTGGTTCGTTAGCGGTTCGCGAGAGCACATGTGCGTTACATGGAAGCCTACGTGCAATGGTCGCCATTGTTGCGGTGCCTGCTCACCAATGTCGCGGAGATTGAGAGCATCGCACCGTACCTGGCGGTTACTGTACCGTCACCCGCTCGTGGCGCAATCGCAATCGCAATCGCTCCGTGCGATGCAAGAAGCACGATGGCGACGAACCGACGGAAACGCTTGCGTGGGCTGCGTGGGTGGAGGGAAGCTTGCCCAGCGCTGCAGGCGCAATAAAAATTAGAGTGGAGCCCAGGATCTGGCACGCTAACGAGCATTTGGCAGTAGGTGGACCGGATTTTCCCTCGCCGACAAAAGACAAAATCCTGCGTGATCGCCGGCGCTCGGGAGCGAGGTTGGAGCAGTGGAGATCCCATCATCTTGTGGAGCATAAACCGGTTTGAGATGCGCCGGCGACTAACGAGACGAGCCCCAGAGGACTCGAGGCATCGTTGACTGGACAGGAGAGAGGTCTCTGTGCGCGCAGCAACCGCTGCAGGCCGGAGTACAGAATGGCCCCTGTTCGCATCATATCAGCGGAGACTGTGCCACCCACTGGTACTCTCGTGGCACCAAGTGGCAGGCTTCCGCTGCAATCCTTCACGCCGCGACCGCACGTGCCTTTTTTCCACGCAATGCAGATCGCGACACCTCCCGGCAGCCGACCTTCCCAAAAGCCATGGTCCCGTCGTCTCCACCCCAGCAATCATGGTTTATCCAATCGTCACCGGCGTGATACTTATTGTCATCAGCACTGTGCACGAAGAATTGAATGAGAGTAATGGCCGATTGTGAAGACGCAGACCGCCGATGATGCACTACAAACCAGCAAGGCAAGGCATGTCCGGCTGCATGAACTGCTCATCATCAGATTCGAGGTCGCCCTACAGCGCCAGGCCAGGCATCAAGGGCAAAGACGCGCCTCCTCAAGCGGGCCTGTCGTTCCCCACCGGATTGGTTGGGAAGCCTGCTTGGGTGATGCTTCTCACAAAGCCTGGCGTCCGATTCGATCTGCATTTCCCCATTTGACAGGCACATCCTGGTCATACCCACGGCTACGAACGCAGACTGACAAGCATGGCTTTTCCGTTGCACCACATGGTCAAAGCCACTTTTCCTGGGCACACGCAAACGTCTACTATGAAACAGCTCGCTTCGGCGTCGTCTTGGTTTTCTTATCCCTTGGGAGCCTCCAGCTCGTTTCCCACCCATACAACGCACCACTTCCGAATACTAATGTCGAACCGATGATCATGGACGTGCTCAATTCGTGTCCGAAGAGCAGCGTGCTGAGTATGAACGAGACCAGCTTGCGAATGTTCAGAACAATCGTAACAGTAACGGCCGAAGATTTGGCGGATAGCAAATTGACGCCCGAGATACAAGCAAGTTGTGTCACCGCGTTTGTGAGCAGAAACAGTATCCCTTGTGGGGTATCCTCCAGAAACGTGCAGAGTAGCGCCAGTAGCTGATTGTTCGCAATCGCTGGCACAAGGGAATACTTGGTTTGCAACCCGTCGAGCAGGTACTGGCGCGCGTTGACAGGTGGCGTAGCTGCCAATTTGCGATACTGCTGCTGCAAGGTTCCAGCCAGAGGGAGGAACAAAGGCAAGCTGAGGAGATGGGAGTAGAAGAGATTCTCCGTCCAACTGGCACCGTATTTCGAGTAAGTGTCCTCGGTGTATGCACCCATGTAGGCAGACATGAATTGTGCAACGAGCAAAATCGCGAGTCCCGTCGTGAAGTCCGATGCCGAAGAGTCACTCTCGACAGACATTGACTTGCCCTTGAGACAGACAGGTCAGTGGGATTGTGCAGTAGTGTTATGGGACCATCTCACACGACGACGCACCTTGCTCTCCGAGTCCGCCCACGCGCTAACAAGCACGCCCATAGTCAAAAGCACCACGCTCAAGATTTGCAGCAAGCTGTACCGCTTCCCTCGAATATAGCCCGCAATCATCGTCGTCACACTCCCAAAGCTGCGGAGGATAATGTGTACCGGCACGCTGATATTGTATGCAAAAGCCCAATTATTCAGCATGTTGATGCCGAAGAACATGGCTGCAATAAAAGCCCATCGTGTCGCTGGCACTTTGGTTCTGCGAAGGGTATAGGGTGCTCCGGCTTCAAATTGAGATGGATACGAACTGAGCGTCGCGAAGACGAACTGCAGGAATGTGATGATCAAGCCTATATAGCGAGCCATGAGATGAGTGGTGTGTTTTTCTTTTTCCGCGCCATCATATATATGATTTGTTCTTACTTACCACTGCTGGATTCGAGTCTGTATGGTTGGTTAGTGATATTGAAAACTACTTCAATTCCCGAGTTGGGGGGCATACTTCACAATGGCCTCGAGGGCGAAAACATTGACGCAGCACCCGCCAAAGATCAATGCCGTCGTCGYCAAAGGTCCGATCATGATTGCGAGGCAGCAACCTTCTCCGGACGATGATGATGAGTGCGAAAGTGTCGAACTCGAAGTTGATCTTGGTAGCGGCAAGACCAATGGAATTCTCCATGATGCCAGTCTGCCCGCCCCTTGAGACTAGCGGGTGCACGGACTTTCTCGATATCTTCGTGAACCTCGACATCTGTCTTGATGTCTTTGCCATCACCGGAATCACATTACCATATTGAATTGATCAATATACGCCGCCTGCGCGGTCCGCTCAAGAAGCAAATGATGTCAAGGACAGCACATGGGAAGAGAATCTCACGACCCTCTCACGGGCGCCGTTGCTACCTATACAATAAGGGTAGGGTACCTTAGGGTAGGCAATGGAACGTTACCATGTATCTGAAACCGTTCGGCGGGAGAGACGAGACATTGTATGTGTCTGTGTCTGCCGGCCACCATTGATTTCCTGCAGGTTCCCGCAGGGTTTCTCAATTTGTTCGAACCGTGGTGCATGTTTTACGGGGACCCACTACCTTACTTAGCAACAAGCTCTTCCCGATGGATGGACAGCACAGCTCTTCCATCTCTAGCAGGCAGGTAATGGGTTACGTCAAAACAATTGATTGTCGATCGGCGCCCTAACATAACGTGGTACAGAACACACCTAGTCCACTCTTCACCAGGGGCCGTTTGTTTGTTCTCGTGCAACGTGTGCTTTGGCCACGATGTCGTGCGTCTCGACTTGGGACCTTTTTTTTTTTCTTTCTTTTCTTCTTTACCCCTGTAACATCCGTCTCGGTAATAATCAATACTACCTTAAAAGTTAAGGTATGTAGGAGGGAGTACGATGATGTATGTTGTGACAACAGCAGCTAAGGTAACCGATGGGAGTACAAGACTACCTACTGTACAATGCCTGCGCACATTGGAATTGAAATGTGACTCCGGACCAAGGACCTTCGTGCTTTCTCTTTCATCGTGTTGAATGTATTGTAAGAATCGTTGCTTGTTCAGCAGGTTGGACATTGACAAAGCTACCAAGTCTGCTGTTTGCAACCCCCCTCAAAGCCTAGCATCAGTAGGCTTCTCCGTAATGATATTCAAAAAGGCAGTATGAACATGCTCCGTAAGATCAGCAGCCTGCAAACTACGTCCCTTCTCCTTGAAAGCCAACCTAGAGCACTCCCTCGTAATAGCCGAGCCGCCGTAAGCCGCATAAGTGAGCAATTCATCCGGTAGCAAATCGCCTTCATGGTCCCAAATCTTCTCGAGGTATGCCTTGCGGTATGCCAACAAAGTCGCCAAAGATCCCGTCAGAGTATCGCCCTGGCCACCGGAACGCTTGAGACCACCTTCTCCATCCGAAACAAGTGTCTGCTTGCCATTCGAAATGTAATCCACTTGGCCTTTTTGAATAATTGTCACTCCGCCGAAAGCATTGGCTAATTTCGCACATAGCTGAGTTGGATCTTCTTTTTCCGTGTCAATGTTCTTACTCTTAGCCAAACGTCCGAATTCGACTACATTGGGAGTCAGAATGCACTCTTTGTAGCCTTGAACGAGATCCGGTCGGGTCTGAGCCAAGTAGAGTCCATCCGCGTCAAGGACAAATGAAACATTCCGCTTCTTTGCCTCGACGATGACACGGGCGCAGGTTTCTTGCATTGCGGGATCGCGTCCTAGACCTGGACCGATGACTATGACATGTAGTCGATCGAGCATGCCGATGACTTGCTCGGATACGCTATCGATGGTTTCACTTTCCCCGAGGTTCTTCTGCTGTCTCATATATGGGTGGASCATGAGGTTGGGAKAGTATGTCTTGATGACCATTCCGGCGCTGGGCTCACAGATTACATGTGACTGTTCAACAAAACAAGCATTATTAGTATTAGTTATACTGTTTTGATGGAGCAAAAGTCTCGAGGAGACGGCGTGGACTAACCATATCCGCTCCGAGTTTGGCAGAGGCCATTGCCGAGAAATAGGGAGCTCCCGTGTAGTCTTCGCTTCCTCCGATGACGGCCACTCTCCCAAGTTGACCTGTTGTTGTTCATCAAGCTCAGCCCATGGTGTCATTGATTAATGGTAGCCTGCTGCTCGCGTGTGAAATTTACCTTTGTGGAACTTTTCCAGCATCGGAGGCACCATTTTGTAGACCTTGCCGAGAATCYCACTGCGTGAGAGGGTAGAGGCCATGTTTGTCGATATATGTTGGGAGTATTGTATTGTGAGAGACGGGTATTATTGTTTGTGGAAAGGTTTACATGTGGTATTGATGGAAGCAAGGCTCTACAGTGATATTGCTAAAGTAGGTGTGGATGATTTGATTGATGATCCGAGAAGCGGGTCATCGTTACGGGGAAATGTGGTTAATGATGACGTTGGAGAGCAACCCAGCATTATTGGTCTCGACACACCAGAATAAGGTAAAGTACTTTATCTAGAAAGGAACACCACCAAAGATCCACCGGCTCTCAGCACAGAAACGTCATTATGAGTGCACAACCATTTCCGAACAATGCGTATGAGACTGCTGGAAATCCCACGGATAAGTCTAATTGGGAAGAGTCACAAGCTCAACGCAATGCCAGTGCAGKCGAAGAAGATGCAGTGTGAGTTATGCAGACATTTGACTACTCACAGCAGAATAATGACAACGATTCCAGGGCACACCGATCAGCAGGGAAGCCGGTAGGAGACGACCAGGCCACCGTGACATCTCGGGCTCGTGGCATCCACGGTGCTCCGCCTGGGGAAGAGACTCGCGGCCATACACAAGAGAGTCTGGATAGACAAGAGCTGGATGCTGCACAGATGGGTGCTCCGGGCGAAGGCAAGGTCGCATCGGCGGTGGATCGCAAGCCAGGTGCTTCGGGCAGCGAGCAAACCTTTGAGACGGATTTGGACAAGAAAAAGGCCGAGCAAGCTCCAGCACGACAGCATGAAAAGGAAAAGAAGGAGCATGAGGTTGATGTTGGTGGTATCCTTGGGCAGCGAGGCGGCCCGGCCAATCCTGTTGAAAAAGATGGGTATCCCAATAAATGAGCGACGACGGAATAGATATGATTGCTGTTGCTGATGGCAGCTCCCATCCATCTACCGCAGCCTACCCTCGGCGTCCGTCATCATGAGAGTGGTGGTCGCAGGTGTTCCATCGACGATTGTGGACGATGGTGTAGGGGTAGGGTATGTAATCGGCGCGTGCAAAGTAGTATACCTATCTAGTAGGTAGAGTAAGTAGCAAATTTCGGTCGCCTTGCAAGGATCGGGATCATCGTCCTTGCCTGCATGGATGTATTGCAATTGAGTTTGCTGACTGTCGAACAATGCCGATGTTCCGCTCCAGTTCGAATCAATCCTCGCATGGATGTGTTCCCAAACACCTGCACTTTCGCTTCCGCTATAACTGAGAGCAGATTGTTGAGGCATGGAAGATTCCACGAAGGCCCCAACAGTAAAATATGGATGTACCATGTGGGGGAGCCGACTGCCTCCAAGACTCGCTATTGTTGTTGTCCAGTCTCACGCAGCGTGCCAAACGCACCTTCAGTACTTAGTGCGACGCTGACKATAGCCACCTCGTCTGTAGGTATCCACGTACAATGATGATAGCAAGTACTGTACATGCAAGCATGCATCCATGGACGCCCTCACATTGGCCTCGAGGGAAACAGAGCATGTCCCGCAGAGGCGTCCCGACGATGACGTAGGGTGGAATACGCCCGAACCGAACCAGCGATTCGCGGCACTTTTTTTGCGGCGGCGGCAGCAGACTACGGATGAAGGTCGTCCGGGACGGCAAAACTAACAAAGCATCCTACCTACAGTTGAGTTGAGATCTCAGTCGGAATTGCCATACAAAAGGTGCCACGCTTTTGTGCCTCACTCACACAAGTTACCTCGCCAGCGCGTGCTGAAAAAAAAAAAAAGAAAACCATGAACATTCAAGATGCAAACATTGCCAATGCAGAACGAGACGCCGATCCGGTTCGCTGGCACGATTACGACCCCAACAATGTCCTCGAGGCAAGAAGCGATCAACTGCACGCCGAAGAAGTAGAGCGAGAAAATTCAGTCAGCTCTTCAGGCTCTTCAGTCCGGGATGGATCCCAAATCCAGCGACATCGATCCTCGACAATTGTCAGCAGGTCGTCGACTCGAATGGAATATGAACTCATGGAGTATCTCGACAGGCATCCTACAGCCATTAAGCGTATACAGGAACGTGAGTTTTCGTACACCCGTTCATGAGTGGTGACGGTCTAATTGACCTGGTCTTACTTAGATCGTCTTCAACATTCCTTGACTGTCGGATCGATCAGAAATTCCAACCGCGAGAACGTTCAGCTGCCGAGCTTTGGAGGCAAGAAACCGTAAGTTGGAAAAGTGACGGGCATCATGGCTGTTGAGACATGCTGCTTCATCTTGTCCGCCTGAACCCTCCCATCGAGACGTAGGCTAACCCTTTTGTTAATCTTCTCAGCTACCCTCCACCCCTGCCGGACCAAGAAGAATATGTAAGTTGGAAAGTGGTCAAGAGCACATTTCAAAGCCTTATTACAATTTGTCTGTGTACCCACAAATTGCTGACTGCTTCGCTCTTTTCACCAGGTGGTGGAGTTCGATGGTCACGACGACCCTCGACATGCGATGAATTGGCCCACCAAGAAGAAGATTTACATCTCCATGATCCTCATCTTCGACTCTCTAGCGGCAACCTTTGCATCATCCGTCTTCTCGCCTGCGACTCCATATGTAGGCCAGGACTTTGGTTTGGGACGAGAAGTGGTCACGCTGGTGAGTGGAAGAGATTCGTTCCTTCAATCTGCAAGTCTAGTACGCTGACACTTCCCCCTTGTAAGGCAACATCTTTGTTCGTTCTTGGATACGCAGTGGGCCCGGTTGTATTTGCCCCTATGAGTGAACTCTACGGTCGTCGCATACCAATCATCCTCGCCGCGTACGTATCTCGAAATGGCACTGCTATGCCCACCTTCTAACCATCCCACAAGGTTTTCTTTCGGTATTTTCGAGATTGGTGTGGCCGTGGCGAAGGATTATCAGACCTTGTGAGAAGACTTGTCGTTGTGATGGATGCGCAAACTTGACTAACATCCATCCCAGGGTCATTTGCAGATTCTTTGCTGGTTTCTTCGGCTCATGTCCTTTGGCTGTAGTCGCGGCCGTATTTGCTGACATGTTCAACAACCGAGTCAGAGGCTTCGCGGTCGCTCTGTTCTCGGCAACTGTCWTCATGGGTAGGCTCCCGAATGTGTGTGATATCTCGGTTCAGGCATGGTACTGACGTCCTTTCAGGTCCTCTGATGGCTCCATTCATCGTATGAATGCATATCACACATGTATCATTCCTCCTACTGACAGAGATTTAGGGAGGCTTCATTGCATCGTCTTACTTGACTTGGAGATTCTGCGCAGTATGTTGAGCGTGAAGGGTACGTCTTGGCGTCATTACTGATTTCTCCTAGTACATTCCTGCTTTCATGGGGTTTGCGGCGGGCACGTTGGCACTTCTATTTCAAGGTAGCTATTCGCTGGGATTGTCGGCTTTGCACCTCCATCTAACGCTTAAACAGAGGAGACTTACGGACCGGTCATCCTTGTGAGCAAAGCATCAGAACTTCGTAAGCAGACCACCGCAAGATCTTCATGCTGGCACGAAGTACTGACTTTGACAAAGGTCGATTGACACGAAACTGGGGAATCCACGCAAAGCAAGAAGAAGTCGAAGTGGATCTCAAAGAGCTGGCCGTCAAGAATATCGCCAGACCAGTCAAATTGTTGATTACAGAGCCGATCATACTTTACATCACCATCTATATGAGCTTCCTCTATGGCATCTTGGTACTTCCTCGCCCTTTCTGGTTACTCCTGGTTACTTCAGTGTGCTAACTCCTCGCAGTATCTTTCTCTCACGGCGTACAGCATCATCTTTAGCGATATCTATGGCTTTGGCCCTGGAATATCTGGTATGGAATCTCAAAGTAAAGGCCGTTTGCTTTTACCATCATCCCATCTTTGAGAATTCTGCTGACACAACCATCCTCATGTAGGATTGCCATATTTCGGGATGATTGCAGGAGTTCTCATCGGCTTGGCCGCAGTGACAATAGACCTTCCTCAATACGCCAGGAAATTAGAAGCCAATAACAATATTCCAGGTGAGTAAAAAATACTCCATACCTGATGAATCAGCTGACACGATCGTAAAGTCCCGGAATGGAGAATGCCAGTGACAATGGCCGGGGGAATCAGCTTCACTGCTGGACTTTTCTGGCTCGGTACGTCTTACCACCACAAGCATATGGATGTGATGAAGCATGCTAACCTTTCCAGGGTGGACKGCTTCGCCAGACATCCACTGGATCGTTCCAACCCTCTCGGGATTATGTCTAGGCTTCGGAATCTACACCGTCTTTCTTCAATGGTGAGCTCTAATGATACAAAGCATTTCTTACTCTTGAGAATCCGCACTAACTCCATACTCAAGTCTAAACTACCTCATCGACGCCTACCTAATGTTCGCCGCGTAAGTCCCCCTCATCCCCTCCTCTCACTCCCTCCCATCCATCCCTAACGAATCAATCTCCACAGATCCGCAATCGCAGCCAACACAATAATGCGCAGTCTCTTCGGCGCCATCTTCCCGCTTTTTGCAACATACATGTTCAACGGTCTGGGAATCAACTACGGCATGACTTTGCTAGGATGTGTCTCTGCGTTGTTCATTCCCATGCCTTTTTTGTTCTATTTCAAGGGAAAGAAGATTCGTGCTAAGAGTAAATTTGCTCCGGCGCCGGATCTTGAGCAGGATAGTCAGAGGAGGAGGGATGAGGAGAGTCGTGGGGGGAGTGGGAGTGAGGGGGAGGGAGGGGGGGAGGGGAGACTCGGGGAGATGGAGAGGAAGGAGGGGAAGGAGAGGAAGGAGGTGTAAGTGGTGGATGGTGTTGATGTTAGATTAATGTAATGTGTGAGAATAATTTCTTGGAATTTCGTAAGGATTGCCGTTGTTCCTATGGATTTGTAGAGAGGGCAATTGTCAACCCCTTCTTTTCACAAAGTAGACAAATTCATTGAGCGGRGCGAGGTCTGAGAACTCCCGTAGCGAAGCGAAGGGCCAGTTCGAAGGCCGAAGCGGAGCGTTAAATACAATCGAAACGTCACCTTAGAGGGTATCGAAAATATTTGAGTCGCAAGGGTCCACGCTCTGATTGGCCGTTCTGAAAAGATATTATGTGATCTAAATCAAATATTAGTATAGGGCCATTAAGCCGTAGTGCAGAGGCTCCAAAACCTGTCTAAAGTAATCAATTCAAAATATGGGGCTGTACATGCGACGATAAAAACGACGATGAAAACGACGATGAAAACGACGCTGAAAATGAGAGCGCGATGAACGCGATGAAAACGAGAACGCGATGAAAACGAGAACGCGATGAAAACGAGAACGCGATGAAAACGAGAACGCGATGAAAACGAGAACGCGATGAAAACGAACATGCGACGACGGCGAAGAAACGACAATAAGACGACGACGACGAAGAAGCGACGATATGCAATATAGCAATACTCTAATAACTCTATCTAGTTATCAATTTTGTATGTATTTGATTGTAATTTAATGCTCCCTCCGCTTACTTCATGAGACATGAACATGGCTCTCACACGATCATTTTATACGGTAAGGGATGAGAAAGGCCACAAGGTTGACGAATGAATGGTCATTTCGAAGCGGGTCTCAAAAAATTGACCCTTTGTTCAATATTGACTATGAAACTTTTGCATCTCATCACACAAGATATGAGCTCGTTTTGGCGGAATATATTATTCTAGGAAACCCCTGGAAAAAAATTCGTGCGTGGAGGAGGTAAGGTAAGTCATTCATCGAAAGGGGGAAGGGGGGCTTTAGATAACGTGGGTCTTTTTTATATTACTTCACTCTCCTTCCGACGATCCCTGTACTACTTTACTCCCTAAGGTACACCTCGCTGTTCATCTCAAGAATCCTTGATATTTTTCTTCCTTCCTGGTACAACTACTAGTTAGTTGAGCACTCACGTCCAGCTATGTATAACAAGGAACACCCAGAAAAAAAGAAGCAGAAACCCCCCAGAACAATAACAACGTAGTAGTAACCTCTAAGTATCAAGTCCTCGAGGAACGAATTTTTGCTTACTTTGAAGCCGATCTACATACCTATAGCTAGGCTTTATGCCCTCTTCTCAATTCAGGTCAGAGATTCTACCTCCTTCTCAGAACCTTGGATTGTCTAGCTTGCTCAAGCCTTAACCGTACGTACCTACCTTACGTACAGATAAGGTAGGARCACTGTAGCTACGGAAGTCACACCTATCTATCTATACAGGGAAACCACGAAGCGTCTGAGAAGGAGGCAGGATGTGAGAGCAATCTCTTCCTGTCATTACAATTGAAGACAGGCTCACTTCACTGCATGCCGACCCTGAAATCTCCCCTGTATTGTTGACATGCTCTCCTCTCCGCAAAGCGAGCTGCTGGAGATACGGATAAAGCGTCTACTCATAGGTTGATCGTACCAATCTCAGGGATGATCGCGACTTCCAACTCGAGAAGCTCAACGGAGACAGTGAGGAAGGCTCTTCCCATCGGTTAAAATGACTATTTAAAGTCTTTCTCCCTGCTTTCTTCTCCTCTCCTTCACATCAACATCACGCCCCAACATTACCCAACATTACCCACCCTTCCACATACTTCATCATGTCGGCATGCATCACTGTCGCCTTCAACGACACCTGCCCGCTGGGATTCTTCTGCCCAAACACGGACGCCAATCACCCGCCCCAAGTGTGTCTACCCTCAAGCTTATGCGGGCTCGAACGATTGCATGGCTTCCTGTGTGAGGCCCAAGGAGCGCTGGAACCGCACGTGTGCAACCCGGGTCGCTACTGCCCCATTGGGGGAAAACAGCAGATTCTCTGCCCAATCAACTCATACTGCCCGATCGGTTCTTACGAGCCAATTCCATGCTTGTACGGCTCGATTTGCCCAATCGGATCATCCAAACAGATGTACCCCGTGCCTGCGTACATTACCCTCGCCGTGGACGTGATCCTTTTGATTCATCTGTTGGGGACGATCTACCATCAATGGCGTGCCGCGCGGAAGGAAGACACCAATACCAAAATCCAATCGACAGACGGTGCAATGGAGCTGGATCAAATCCTCATACCCACATCCGTCACGATCATCGACCGATTCCCACATCCCAGGAGACGTCGTCCCACAGATCAAGCACCTCCCGACGAGTATGAGATGACCCTCCTGCGTTTCATCCGCAGAGCTCGYGTGGAGAGAGGGCTGGATTTCGAATTCGTAACAGCCGAAGGTCGATTCAGTAGACTCGCTCGCGGAAACCTCGTGGGTAYCATCGGACCCGGCAAGACCAAGTTCATCAAGGTTTTGACAGGACAGCAAGAGCCTGCCGACAAGGATGCGAAAGATGCATCCGGTGTCATCGCCATCCGCATCAACGGCCACCGTATCCACCACCCCGGAGCCTTTCGACGTATCATCTCCGTCGTGCCTCGCGAAGGCATCGCGATTCCACATCTCACGGTCCGYGAAAACGTGCTCCATGCCGCACGTATGCGCCTCCCACCAACCTTCTCCTCGAGGGATGTCAACACCTTTGTCGACGCCCTCATCACCTCCTTTGACCTCTACCAAGTGCAGCATTCCCACGTTGGATCCCCTCAGCACCCCGTCATCTCCGACGCCCAACGTCGGCTCGTCGACATCGCCATGGCCCTCGCCGCTGGGCCCACGGCCATGTTCCTGGACGAACCGACAGCGCACATGAATCTCGTCGAGGCGGCAGGTCTGATCCGGTTGTTGAAGATGGTCAGTCAACAGGGCGTCACCATCGGAGTCACGATGAATCAGCCCACTCGAGACATCTGGCAAAACATCTATCTCGGTGCGGTGAGCTCCCATGAACCAGCTGGGTTCCCCTGGGAACCCGCCAAACCGGCCTCGAACTTGGAGATGCACGATCTCAAGGTGGCATCAGGGGGCGGATTCCGGGGACCTTCATGGCTGACGCAGGTGAAGCTTCTCTCGTGGAATGCGCTTCTCCTCGCGTGGCGTGAACCGGGTCCACTCGTCTCGGAGCTGGCTGCGGCCTCTCTTGTAGGGCTGGGGATCGGGCTCTCCATTCGAGCATCCAAGGGCGAATTATTCCGAGGGGCCTTTCACCCACCGTTCGAGGCACTCGGCGCGGCAACCGACTACAGGAGCGCTCCCTCGATGGGACTACTGGGGTCTCTGGCCATTGGGGCGGTTGCTTGCGGCTCCAAAGTACGACTCTTCACGCAAGCTCGATGCGCGCGAGAATTCCAGTCCGGCCAGTCCCGTTCGGCACACTACCTCGTGGAGACGCTGGCCACCATCCCCCGGCTCTGCGTGAGCTCCCTCCACATTGCAGCGCTGGTGTGCGTGCTGGGAACGCCGCGCATGAGCTTCGCGCAGATGTATCTCGCCAATCTCATGCACTTCTGGGGCATCTACGGCCAAGCCGACCTACTAGCCGCGGTGCTCCCCAAGGGGAGCCGGTGGGCGGCTGTGACCACGCTCATCTTGAGTGTGTTTGGGGCGGTGCAGCCCTGGCCGGCGGTGGTGAAGAGGTATCATTTGGAGTGGTTTTGGCGTTGCTCACCGGCGGCGTGGTACACGGAGGCGTACACGGGCCGGCTCGTGAGCCCTCTCGGTCATCTATATGAACTGAACCTTGCCAAGGCGGCCATGGGGTACGAGCTTGATCAGTACGGCCTAGATATCGCGATGATGTTTGTAATTGGAGTGGTGTACCGGATTTTGGCGTGGGTGGGCAGCCGGCGCTCGTGGGGAAATAACAAGTAGTTGTGTTTTCTTGATAAATTGACATGGTTTGACGTTTCCACTTGTGATGTGTGTTTGCAAGTAGGCTGGAGACCATTGGAGGGTTCTAGCGGTGCTTTGAGATGGGGAGTGGAATGGAGAGAGGGTTGAATTGAAAAAAGGCGATTACTGGAAAGTTGATGAAAGGAAGGAACCGGGTGATTGCGGACCGAGCTGTCGATATGAGAAGATCATAAAAAAAAAACCGCGCCCTTAACTGCCCTCTCCGTTGAAAAACGGGGCACTCTGCTAGTAATAAAGGTTCTAGTAAGTCCAGAGTTGTCGTCTACTTTATAGAGAGCAACGCCTACTCAGTTCTATGCTCCAATTCAACAACAGTACAGCAACTCCATTTTGCTGTGAGTCACTCAGCTGCTTTCCAAGACGCAACACCAACGCAAAGTTCGGAGGGCTGCGCTTGCTTGACAATGAGAACAGCCCAGTCAGTCGCAACTCTGCCGCGATTGGGTGCTCCTGGATGCCATGGATATTGTGATTGCGTGGAAAGAACGCGTCTCTCCACACCGCCGACCGAACAACAACGAGAAGGAAGGAAGGACTGGACAATCAATCTCCAGCTGCTTGCTGTGCTGTGCTGTTCGATTTCGTCAGTATCAGTATCGACAATCGGGTGGTTTTTGTCTGAGTCGTTTGTGAATTTATCGCGACGCGACGTGGAGGATCGATCWATGATGAGGCTAGACTGTAGAGAATGAACGAAGATGGATGGCTGTTACCCGAGGTTCGAGATATTATAAAGATGACTGAGGAGGGTGTTTTGTTTTGCCTCGATGAAGAATTTTAGAATAAGGTAGGAATTCCGATGGAGAAATATTAAATAAATACAAGGCTGGATGAATGAGTAAGGTACATACATGTGACAAGCGGTTCGTTTGTCTGTTCTTGAAGTGCCTTTCACACGATAAGGATGATAAGGATGATGAGGATGATATCCCGATAGATAACTACCTTAAGGGAGGCACTGTAAGGTAACACGAAGGTAACGTGATGGTAGGGTTGATGTTAGCGAGATAGAAGATCAGCAGACGCGATCGGCATCCATCGACGTCAATTGGAGATTAGCGTCAGGTACGATACGCGAAGAAATTCCCAGGGGCGTCTTTCAGGCACGTGTGTCTCAGGAACAAGCGTGGTTCAACGCGTGTGTTCGCATGATGCATGTTATGTATGTGTCGCCGTTGAACATTTTGGACGTTGGTCCGAACTACCTATGCGAGGGATGGAAGACATCGTTCTAGTACAGTCAGGTAAAGCCATGCACACACAGGACGGGAATTGATCATGGACGGGAATTGTACGAGAATCCCTGAAACCATGGGGGGCACTCCACTAGTCCCCTTTCAAAGCGGTTAAGGTTGGCTTTGGGTTTAGGTCAGGGACGTCCTTTCAGCCAACGACGAGGCGCCGACGACGATGCAGAGTTTCATCATCCCATCCCATCGCAAGCAAGGCGACGTCGACGTCGAGCGGGTTGGACTTGCTCCTCTCCTTCTGCTTCTTCCCCTCCATCATCATCATCCTCTGTCTCTTGTTGGAGATTGTCACTCTTTGATCCGCTGCATACATGCTCTCCCTCTCGTTTTGAGCGTGTTACGCCCGACTGTCTTTTCCCATCCATCTCATCGCTCACTCTTTTGAACAGGAATTATCTATACATCGTGCCGGACGCGATTCCACCCCTCCCTCCCTCTTAGCTCATTCGTTCCTTCCTTCCAGCATCACCATGTTTTCCTTCCACACCCGCGCGCGATCGCTCATCCCGGTCTCGGCCATTACCGATTACCACCTCAAGAGCGAGGCCTACATTGAAGAGGTGGAGGATGTCGAGGAGGATGTGGAGGAGCAAGGTCGGCAACACACGTGCCAATATATCCTCATCGGCCTGCTCTTCCTTGCCGACGCCATGATGCAATCCTCTCTCTCCTCCTCGGTCGATGCCCTCCTCCCCACAAACTCCAGCTGCGTGACGATGGAATCCTCCTTTCTGCGCAGCATCATGCAGTGCGCCTATTACTTGGGAGCCTCGACCGGATTGGTATGGGGAATGGCGGCAGATAGCATGGGACGGAGACGAGTGGCGTTGATTTCATTGTGGGGATCGTTGATTTGTTGCTTTTCCATGGCCTTTGCCACCACTTTTGCGGCCTTTGCGGGCTTGAGATATGTGGCCGGAGTGTTTGGCTCGGCGGGTCCCATAGCTGCTCTGGCGCTGTTGGCCGATTTGACGCATGCGAGCAAGCAAAGGACCTGGCTGGTTGCTCGTCTGCCTCTTGTCGTGGTCGTTGGTGGACAGGTGGGTCCCCTTCTGTCCGCAGCCATCACCCATTTTGCGCAGCGTCATTTCCACGCCGTCTTGACCGACTATCCGGCATTGGGTGAGTGAAATGTCCTTCCGTTGGTGATGATGTCTGTCCATCGCTAATCTCTTTCTTTCCCCAGGAGGCCAAACGGCGTGTGGACTGGTCGTGCTCCTCATCACCATTGCCGAAGGTCTGCTCCTCCGAGAAACCCTCCCCACCTTGAAATCCACCCGTGAAGAAGAGGACTCGATCGATTGTGAGAAGGCGGCTTTTCTCGGCCAATCGCACTCCAACAACAGCCAGGACTCCCTCGCCATCAGCATCGTCGACGCCCTCCATGATGACGCGCCTTCGACCTCGCCCCTGCCATCCCACATCACCATCTCCCAACTCCTCACCGCTCCTTCCGTCCTCATCCTCCTGGCTTCCTTCTCCGCCCTGTCCCTCCACTCCTCCACCTTTGACCTCCTCCTTCCCCACCTGGGCCAGCATGCCACCCAAGACATTGGTCTGGGTCTTCCCTGCGCACTCCTCCAACCCGTTATGCTCGTCGTCAAGGTCGTCGCTGCTGCAAGCATGCTCTGCATCCCCGCCCTCGTCGACAAAATCGGTCTGATGAGGTTATATCGCACCATTTCCCTCACCTTCCCCGCCCTCTACATCCTCCTCCCCATCATCGCTCTGGCAACGGCCGGCTGTGGGGAGTCGGATGTCTTGGCGGGAGCATTCAGCACCTTGGCCACCTTACTGAAGACGACCCTCACCAGCGCTGCCCAAGTGCTGGTCCTCCTCCTCGCCCTCTCCATGGCCCCCGACGCTTCATCCACGGGCACTCTGATTGGAGTCATTTCCATTGCCGAAATGTTCAAGGCGTTGGCCGTGGGAATTGCCGGCGTGAGCTACTTCCTCTCCGATGATTATTCCATGTGGATGGTGAATGGTGCGTTGTGGACTGCTCTGGCTGTAATTGCTTCTCTCGGAGCCTTGATCACCCGGAGATTGCGAGAGACGACGCGTGTGGGAACGGATCTCCCGGAAGAGTGTTTGGTGTGGCAAGGCATGTTTGATGTGGATAGTGAAGATGAAGCGGGATTTTAAAAATAAACCCCCTCCATCCAAATTTGATGGAAGATGAAGGAGGAGATGGAAGAAGAAGAACAAACGTTGCCCCAAAAAAGCAATGGAATGAATACGTCACAAAAAGAACCCCGTCCGTACATAGCAACGTCCGAAACGCTTTTACTTTTCTTGTCATCACAATTTAGCCCCTCCTCCTCGATCCACCACATCCACATCCACATGCACCTCATCCAAAACCCGCAACATCCTCTCCCTCCACCGCCCCACCAATCCTTGATCCATGATACTAGAATCCACACTCACGGTCCCGAAAATCCCGCCCTCACTTCCCCCAGCTCCCACGAGAAATTCCCCTTCTCGAGCCCGGACACTCGCTGTGAGATCTCTGAAATCCACCACCATCAACTTATCATCATCATGATGCTTGTTATTATCTTGATGATGATGATGATGGTGGCCCCTACGAATCAATCGATCTCGAAGTCCCACTGATGAAACTCCACAGGTTTGAGAAGTGGGATTTTGACGTGCTGGATAGATTCCTTGAGGAGGGGATGGCGGTGAGGAGGAGGAGGATGATGATGTGTGTTGTTTTTGTTGTAAGAAACCAGGAACGCGTTCTAGGGAATAAAGATATTGATTCGCGAGGACTAGACCTGCTGCTCGGGAATTGAGATTGTGAGTTCTTGCTGTTACTTCTTCTGGTCCTTGATGATGAGGAGGAGGAGGATTATTGGGTCGTTTTTGATAGGATTGTAATTGCCTGTGAGCCTGGCGGATTAAAAGCCGTAGACGTCCTTGTACTGGGAGGTGGGAGGGAAGGAAGGGGAGGGAGATTCCATCGCTGAAGGCTATATTTTATCATTGTTGTTAGTTTCCTCCCTTCTACATGAGGGAAAGGGGGATGGATAAATATTCATGACATACCCAACATACAACAATCCGGATCAGTATAATGATTAAAAAACGCCCTTGGATTCAACGGAAAGCCCGTAATGAAAGCCTTTCTTTCCTGCAGAGGAATTTCCGGATGGAGATGTTCGTGGAATTCCATCATGGTTAATGCCACTAGAGCGAAAATTCCCGCGCCGATACTCGCGTGCACGGATTTACAGATTCGATGGAGATTTTCTGCTGCGGGGATGTGGAAGGTTGTGGGGTTGGTGGTATTTGGGGGGGAGGTGGTGTAATTTAGGACCTTGGAGTAGATGGGTGAGAAGGATGTGTCATTTCTTCTTCTGCCTTGAGGAAGACGGAGAGGGTTGGAGAAGCCTTCAGGAAGGGGTTTACGGACGTGGCGGAGGATGCGAGTTATAGTCCAGAACCAGCGTTGTCGGGCGCGGTTTCCGGGGTGGATGGGTGGGTAGAGGGCTTCTTGGGGTAAAGGGGCTCGGGTTTGGATGCTGGACGGTTGGATGTATTCGTGGATTTGACGCTGGAGAGTCTCTGGGGTTTGGTTGAGGCGGGTGATGAAATCTCGCATCCAGACGTAGGAGGATAGGCCGTCCCAGATCATGTGTCCTGTGAGGTAATATTAGTCAATCAGTCAATCAATCAATCAATCGAGATGTCAGTATGTTGGTTATCAGCTAGGAGATACATACCTCCAACAAACAACACCTTCAACACCCCCCCCTCCCCTCCATTTTCTTKCCCCAAAGGCAGCACAAAAACTTTAGCCAACGCCACCTCGGGATCCACTACTCTCCCTCCATTCTGACAATGCATATAAAACTCCTCAGCATCCACTTTTTCATAAAAATCCTCCAAAAACACCAATTGCTTCTCAGCCCTCTCCCTAGCTTCCTCAACATCTCTAGGAACATCAATCGTGAAATGTAATCCCTCGGGCGCCACACTTTTTTCTACATCATCATCATCCTCTTCATCATCTTCTTCTTCATCATTCTTTTTTCGCACAGTCCTAGCCTGCAAAAGAAGATGTTGACATCGCAACGTAGTCCAAGCTAATAAAATCCTCTGTCGGAATTCCTTTGGGGAGATTTGGCGGGTTTGAAAGGCGAGGGTTAGGAGACAGTTCATATCTGCTCTTCCTTCGAAATGTCTGTCATTCATAATTAATTTCCTATCAATCAGCATGAAATTCCTCTCCTCTCATAAAGATGCCCAAAAGATGAAAACCAAAAAAAGAAGCATTAAATACTCCATCTCTTTCGCGAGAAGGAAGTAAAAAAGAAGAAGAAATATCACATACCTCCCATCAGTATCAAAAGCATATTCCACCAATCCAATCGCTCGGGAAAATTTCATCCCACTTTCCCCATCATCATTACTCGTCGTCGTCGTCGTCGTCGTGGAGGAAGAAGAGGGTCGCCAGGTATATGCCTCTGCATTTCCATATTGACGAAGCCATTTCGGCTGGGGAGAAAAAGCTATGGAGTTCATCGATAACAACAATTTCCTCCAATTTTTTTTTGGTGTGTGTGTGTGTTATTTGTCTGGGGGAGTAAAGAAAATTGGTAACAAGAACAATAATCAAATGATGATGTTTATCGAGAGAAATACAGCCTAGCCAAGCAAAGCGGGCGGTGATGGATAGCTTTGCGAACTCCGCTTGTGTGCTTCGTAGGAGGTAGGTACTTACTTACCTATACAATCAATTAGCCTAAATCAAACCGGTAGAAAACGAAACATGAACGAGAAAGCACACGATGAGGAGTTTTGAAAGGCCCTGGATAAAAAATAAAAAGTGCGTTTTTCCACAAAACAAGTCGACAGTCCAAATTCAGGACAACAAAACATCGACGGGTATCTCAAAAACAAATTTCAACCAAAATAAGAAACCCCCCCTCCCCTCAGTCTGGTCTCTCCCTCAGTCCCTCTCTCTCTATCCAACATCAATATCAATTCCACTCCTCAGGAGGTGTCCTCCCCCCACCACTACTTCCACTCCCACTACTCCCACCCCCAACATATGCCCGGTCAACAGCCCAAATCCACTCCCCCCTCTCCTTATCATTCCTCGTGGCAAACAGCCAAGCTTTGGTCGAATACACCGCCCACACCTCCATGCGCACATTCGGCCGCTGCAACAACTTTGCAATCTCGGGCTCATGATCGATTCGGGAATTCGTGAGATTGATCGCATTCACCTCGTCTCCCTCTTTGCTGTACAGGTGCAGAAAGGGGCGTCGGAGTTCCACATAGGTTCGAATCCAATGCGCACCTGCCGCGTCGGGACAGAGGAGCCAGCCGCCTTTGAGGACCGTGGGGGATTTGACGTGCGTTTCCACCACCGCTGCTAGAGGCACGGGTTCGCTGGGTTCGCTGTTCGAGGATTCTCTTTTCTTGGAGGAAGAGGCAAAGGCGGCGCCACGTTCCGGGGAGTCGGTGTTGGAGTGTAGGAGCATGTTCTCGCCTACTGAAGGACTGGTCTGCCACAACTCCACAACCTTCTTGATGAGTGCTTGCTGGTCTTCGGTGAAGGTTTCATTCTCCGCTCTCTGTGCTTGGACAGGTGGGGATAGAGCTCCAAAGCTGAGAACACCACGCGCGGATTCAATCTCTGCTATGCGTCGTTGTCGTTTTCGTAAATCCATGTAATCTCTGATCAAAGACACACTTCGAGGTGCCCAACTCGACAAAATCTCCTCGCCGGAAATGTAATCGCCCGTGGTATCCATCCGCCAGAGGTCGCCAGCTCGTTTGGCTGCACTAGGTTTAAGCGTTACGGCATAGTTGTTTGCGGTGGAGTGGACGACTCGTTGGTTGTAGAAGAATTGCCCCAGTAAGGAATTCTGTCGGAACCACGTTCGAGGTCGAGTTTGAACGGCAACATCAAAGCTAAACTTCATCGGATGTGTCACTCGAGGTGAGTGAATCTGCCACTTGAACGAGAGTTGAACCCGATACTTATCCAACGTGGGTCGATCCAGAAGTTGGGAATGATGAKCACTGGAATCCCATTGCCCGGTGATCTTGACGTGAGTGGTGCCATCCGAGTTCTTGCGAATCACAGGAGGCGATACCAGTGACAGGAGAACATCCGACTGGTTGCTGTCGGCGTCGGAAACTTTGCCTTCACTATCCAGCAGACGGATCTGGCCAGCTTGAAATCGGTCAATCTCTTTCCACGGCATGTCATCCCCGGAAGTGTGTACCAAGCTCAGCACAACTCGTCTTTGCAATCCCTGATGGAGTTGGTAAGAACCTTGATCTAGGGTGTCGTTTTGAACCACCTCTACCGGTTGGTAGGTGCCGTCTTCACTAATCTCCAGGATGTGCACGCGCGCAAACACGTCATGTCGTTCGGCAGAATAGTACTCGTGCTCCGCTATCCGCGCACGAAGACGTTGATTGCGTGGTTTGATGTTCGCGGCGACGGATGCGTCCCGCATGTCATCCCAACTAAGAAGCTTGTCGAGATGCATAGTAGTCACCTTGGCGAATATGCTGACCCTCAAACTAGCATCTTGAGGGGCTGACAGCGGCAGGCTCATACTGTGCACACTTTCGAATCGTACAGCCGTCTCACCAAATCCAGCTATGAGGGATGTTGTCGTGGCACCCCCTTCTCCTGATATGCCGGGGATGAACAGCTGGGCGTGGACGTTAGTACCCTCTCGCTCGGCGAACCCAATCAGTTCATGCATCACTACGTTGAATTTCAAGGTGCTGTTGGGAGCTTCGGCAGAGCTGGGTTCCAGGGATAGGTGTACCACCCCGACAATGCTGCACGTATACGGTGAATAGACGTCCAGTGTGAAATCTTGGACCCTACACTCAAATACGGCAGCCAGCGGGATATCGGCATCTCCCACACGAGTGTACTCCGGCATGCAGTCCTCTTCGAATGGATTCCCCACGTTGAAATGTTGCATGTACTCGGGTCGGTCAATATACTGGACCATCTGCCGCATGGCCTTGACTCGTCTATGCAGCTTTGCAACGGACCAGAGATGGATGACGGAATGTGCAAAGTCAATGACCCGGATTGCGAGGCACGGTTTGGGGTCATCCTCAAGGCTGGGATCGTTGCCATCTTCGGCTGACACTCCATTCAAGGCGAGGTCATAAGAGGATGCGAATATGTGACCAGCATCCACGACAGTGAATTGGAAAACGACACTGCGTTCCATCTGTTGGCTGATCACCTGAGCTTCTTTCAACGTTGCAGCGTTCTTCAGCACACCCGCCGCCATGGCGACATATCTGTGCTGTCTCCAGTGCTGTAGCACCTGCTTCGCAAAGTAAACCTCGCGATCGCTAAGCGCAAGCTTGCCGTGACTTTTTCGTCGCGGCTTGGGTGGTTTCCTCAACTCTGCAATCTGCTTGTCGAAAACAGACTTTTGCTCCATGAGTTGTTTCTGCATCTGCTCCTTCATCTCCTGGAGAGAGGCCTCCATCTTGACCTTTTCTGTTCGTAATACATCAATCTCAACGCTGCCTTCTTCGGCGTTGTGGAGTCGTTCTGAGAATTCTTCCTTTTTCGTATCAAGCTGGTCTTGCATTTCATCTCTGGTCTGCTTCAATCGATCTTCATCTTCTGAATGCTGTRGGGTTGAGGGTATCGTAAGGGCCGTGTCCAGGCTGAAGTTATCCAGGGTGCCGTTGCTGAGGTACTTCTCCCGGACGGGGTGAGATGAGATGGATTCACTGTCCGTGTCCCCGGCGATACTGTCGAATAGTTTGCCCTCGGGCCGTCCTTTCCGTACTGCGCGAACACGTTGCAAGTCCTCGAACAGCACGTCCAGCTGATCATCAGTCAAGTCGGACATTTTCTGATCAGGCCCAAGAGTGGATGAAACAGCCTCGCGACGGGCAAAAGCCCAGTCACTATCACGTCCACCAGTACGCCACGGTGCGGGGGATTCTGCGCCTGGACTTCCCACATCAGTATCAAGATCTGACATTGCCCGACTGACGCTGCTGTCTGTTCGTTCATGTCCCGGAGGTGGAGGTCGTGAAGGAGAATCTAATTGATCCGCAGTGACAGAGTATCTCAACAGACTGCCTTGCTCTGCTCGTTCTTCACGCGCTTCCTGGGGGTGGTTGAAGCGGAAGATRTGAAAGTCACCAAGTATCACACGATAACCCGATCTCAGTCTCCTCGGCGCTTCGATCCGTACGCCATTGACCATGATTGCGGCGCCATCCTTGGGAACGACCGTCACCACACCGTCCACGTTCTCAAAAGTACAGTGGTCGTGTAGGATTTTGGATCCATTCAGTCGAATGTCAACCGCAGCCTGGGTGTGGTCTACAGCTGGGGTCTCGCCTTCCACATTGACTGAATTTGTCTCGACATTCCCAACAGTGGTAGTACCCGGCTTGAGGTTGTATACCAGGCATTCCGCAAGCAACGGGTCGTCGCTGAGATTGACCAAATGAGGCATTTTCTTCGGTGTGGTGAGTCCGACGAATCCCTTCTCGATGCTGATACCAAGCTCTTCCAGTGCAGACTCGCGCTCTTTGTGGATCTGCTCCGTCTTGGTGAGCTTCTCCTCCCACGTCTGGTTCAGGTCTGAATACAACTTCTCCGACTGCGAGAGCTGCTCTGCGATTTCCGCCTTGGAGACCTTCTTGATGGTTCCATCCGGCTGCGTTATGCTCACAATCTGCTTCTCCAGCGGCGTATCGGCGCTGTACTGTTCCTCGGCGATGGATCCACCCGTGCTGAGTTTGGAGCGCAGTTGAGCCAGCTCTTCCTTGAGTTCGCGAATCATGCGGGCGTTGGGATCTTCGTTGACCACCGCGTGGTTCTTGATACGTTTTGCAGAATCGGCATATCGGAGGGTGGAAAGGGTCTCGTCAAAGTTGATGTCGGCGGGTGAGATGGCAGCAATCATGGCGGTGAGACTGTTTCCCCCCAGACTGTCCTTCAGCAGCCATGTCAAGACCGAGTCTCGGTAGGGAACCTGCATGCCCTTTTTGGGTTTGGCAGTGGTGCTAATGTCCGCCAACGCAGCAATGACACGACCCAGGGTGGACAGCGAACGATTGATCTCGGCACCCTCCTTCAACCYCGCACCCGTKGCACCTGTACTGGTGGCACGCTCGGAACCGGCCAAATCCACCAGACTGATCTTGGCCACCTTTTCCGTGTCCATGTTCGTCTCCACATCGTGTCGCTTTTGCGTGAGGGTGAGGGTGAAGACGGCGTGGGATCGTGACGAGGTTTCGTTCATGTTGGTTGCGGCGACCGTCCGGGCCTTGTTGCCCTCGTCCATGAGGTTGTCGATTTCCGCGAAGCTCCGTACGACCAGCTTGGCCAGGTCCTCGACGTAGGGACCGGTGGAGGGATGCTCGCGCACCTTGAGATTGCCCTTGGTGCTGGGGTTGAGCAAATCGCGGACTCGCTCGTTGTAGATTTCCAGATATGACACCTCGACCGTCACGGCCATGTTCTTGTCGGCCGTCTGGACGGCCTCGATCCGCTCAAACATGTTGCGACAGATGCGTGGAATGACACCCTCCTCATCGCCATAGCCCATCATGCTGTAACTCTTGCCCGATCCCGTCTGTCCGTAGGCGAAGATGCAATTGTTGTATCCCTGAAAGGCATTGTCGAGCAGCGGCCGTCCCAGGTCGGTGAAGAGATCCTCCTGCACGGCAAAGTGCTGGTCCTTTTTATCGAAAGACCAATATGATTTATCGAAAGCAAACGTCTTGCTACCCTCCAGCGCCGCTTTCCCGCCTGCTTTCTTGCCATCGGGAGCTGGCGGCGTGAGGACCGTTTGCGTGCCCTTCATCGACACAATACATTTTGCGTTGCGTCCAACCTCGCGGCTGTTGAAGGGGCGCACGCGCACGACGACCTTGACTGGGAGGCATGTTGGTTAGACTTGTACATGAGGGATTCCACCGAGACCTGACATACTGTTTCCGCCGCCCGACGCCATGATGGTGGTGGGAATGGGGGAAATCTAGGGTCGTCGCAGTCGCATGCGGGTTGTTGGAGAGCCGCCTACTGGCGGATCGAGCGTTGGTGGACTGCCGTGTGGGTGGGGGAGATGGTGCAAGTTGTTACTTTACAATTATCGGAGACGCGTTCGAAGCCGCATGACATAATTTTAGAACCAAAAGTAAAGTAGGTACATGGCATGGAGTCAAGGTACATGGGGGATCTCCTTGGATGAATGCTTCTACCATCGATATTATTCTCCGGTCCCTCTTCTGCGTTGTCGCATCATGTCAAACTGTTGATGATATACTCACTCTGGTCAGCCGACTAGAATGTCCATCAGATTGGATCATTCGGCGTCTCCTGAGCTCTCAGGTACAAGACACCTCCAGACAAGCTTCATCGCATCCAGCGTCCACCAGATCCCGTTGGTTACCCCGAACTTTGAATCCCAGTCTAATCGAATTCGTCCACAAATTCTCCTGCCAGACTCGCAGTCATAGTCCGTCCAATCACATCAACACATATACTTTACTGCTGTTGTGCAAGACATCACATGGCAGAGGAAGAAAACATGTGGCGGCCGCCTGTGAATCGGCTGATGAAGACTCTGGACCGAGCATTCTTCCAAAGCACCATCAATATAAAAGCCGCGAGAGTTTTCGACAACAAAAATATCTTCAAAATCCGAACGGCACTTGAACGCAGCAAGGATGTCCTCGTTCAGGAGCGAATTGGCAGCGTCCATCCAGATCCCGATACCGACCTGGCCAAAACTGGAAGGAAATGCATCTTGCTCAGACCCGAAGTAAGGATATCAGACGATGCAGRATCTACAAGTACTCCCTGGCCACACTCCACCACCCTCTCAGAACTCATCAAAGATGAGCTCGTCACCGTCATCCCCTACCAGCTCCAGCTCGACTACGACTACTGGACCTACCATGATATCATGTCCGCAATCCTCCCCGAAGACGAACAAGGCGAGATTCCCTCCGGTTTCTCCCAAGTAGGCCATGTAGCCCATCTCAACCTCCGCGACGAATACCTCAAACACAAACACATTATCGCCGAAATCATCATGGACAAGAACCCCGGTGTCAAGACTGTCATCAACAAAATCGATGATGTCGGCGAGGAGAGCGAATTCCGAACGTTCAAATATGAAGTCCTGGCGGGTCCAGATGATCTCAATGTCATGATTTCCGAAGAAGGCTGCAATTTCAAATTCGACTACAGCAAAGTGTACTGGAATAGCAGACTCAACACCGAGCATCGCCGACTAGTCGCGACATTCAAAGAAGGCGAAGCAGTCTGCGATGTCATGGCGGGAATCGGCCCCTTTGCAGTACCTGCAGGAAAGAAGAAGATTTTCGTCTGGGCAAACGATCTCAACCCCGACAGTTACGAGAGCCTCCAAGACGCCATTAAGCGGAACAAGGTCGCGGATTTCGTACGACCGTTCAACGAGGATGGTCGAACGTTCATTCGCACCGCCGTCGCTGAGTTGGCCGAACAAGATCGAACAGTAGAAGTCACCAAGAAATCCTCACGAAAAGATCCCGCTGCGAAACCTGCAGTCCTGCAAACTCTCCGACAACCACGCACCTTTTCCCATTTCGTACTCAATCTCCCCGCGTCTGCCATAAGCTTCCTCCCAAGTTTCGTCGGCATGTTCCCAGAATCCGTTCGGAAGAACTTGGGTGACGAGATTCGAATGCCGCTCATTCATGTCTACTGCTTCAGCACAAAGAGTGATGATAATGTTGAGGAAGGGATCAAGATTTGCGAGGAAATTAGCAGGCAAATACAGTATGAGATGAAGCCTGGGAAAATCGAAGATGGGGGTGTGGAGATTTATGATGTGAGAGATGTAGCACCGAAGAAGAGGATGTTTTGTGCGAGTTTTAGACTACCAGAGGAGGTTGCTACGAGGACGGTTGAATGAATATGATGTTGAGCTAGCACCGGGCTGAGGAGTGAGCAGGCCATTGCACCTTTGTTACTTCCGGCGAGTAATGGCCATCATGTCCATTCGCCACCGAGTAGTCGAGTAGAAGGATTGCACGGAATGGACGAAATTTCGCATAACAAGCCCATCACCAACTCTCTTGCTTGCTTGCACAGATGGATATATGAGTAGATGAATAGGTGATATGCTTGCTTTTTGATACTGAGGATGATGTCGCTCATTTGTTTTGAGACGGCCCGCGACCTCGGCATTTCTTTGTACGCCAGACGAATTCTTATGATGTCGTTGACTTTATATACAATTTGATTGGCTGATCGGGTGCTAGCGACGCGATCGCCTCCGACCTCGATTCAACTTCGACTTCGACTTGCCTTCGATCTGAAGACGACGGGAGCACGACCACCACACACTTGCCTTTACATTCTCCCCTCTCTCTCTTCATCTCTCTCGCAAACATGTTGTCCTCAAGTCTGAGGCAGTTTGCTGGACGCGCCTCATCGGTGCGCTCCTTCTCATCCACTGCACGAGTCAATCGCATCATCACCAACAGCCAGCCGCTGCGAGCAACGCACGCCTCGGGCTCCATTTCCAGCAAGTACCCCGTCATCGACCACGAATACGATGCCCTCGTCGTCGGCGCAGGAGGTGCGGGTCTCCGCGCGGCCTTTGGATTGGCCGAGGCGGGATTCAACACGGCCTGTATCTCCAAGCTGTTCCCCACAAGATCTCACACGGTCGCCGCACAGGGCGGTATCAACGCGGCCCTGGGAAACATGCACGAGGATGACTGGAGATGGCACATGTACGACACAGTCAAGGGAAGTGATTGGCTCGGAGACCAGGACGCCATCCACTACATGACCCGTGAGGCCCCCGCCTCCGTTTACGAGCTCGAGAACTATGGATGTCCCTTTTCCCGCACAGACGACGGCAAGATCTACCAGCGTGCCTTTGGTGGACAGTCCAAGGAGTTTGGCAAGGGTGGACAGGCATACCGCTGCTGTGCCGCCGCCGACAGAACCGGCCACGCCCTCCTTCACACCCTCTACGGCCAGTCCCTCCGACACAACACAAACTACTTCATCGAGTTCTTCGCCATTGATCTGATCATGGAGGACGGCGAGTGCAAGGGTGTCATTGCCTACAACCAGGAAGATGGAACCCTCCACCGCTTCCGCTCCCACCACACCGTCCTCGCCACCGGTGGATACGGCCGCGCTTACTTCTCCTGCACATCCGCACACACCTGCACGGGAGACGGCATGGCCATGGTCGCCCGTGCGGGTCTTCCCAACCAGGATCTCGAGTTCGTCCAGTTCCACCCTACTGGTATCTACGGCGCCGGATGCTTGATTACTGAGGGTTCTCGTGGTGAGGGTGGTTACCTCCTCAACAGCGAGGGTGAGCGATTTATGGAGCGTTACGCACCAACCGCCAAGGATTTGGCATCTCGTGRTGTTGTCAGCCGAAGCATGACCATGGAGATCCGTGAGGGCCGTGGTGTCGGTCCAGACAAGGACCACATCTACCTCCAGCTCTCTCACTTGCCACCAGATGTCCTCCACGAGCGTCTGCCCGGCATCAGTGAGACCGCTTCCATCTTCGCCGGTGTCGACGTCACCAAGCAGCCCATTCCTGTCCTCCCAACTGTCCACTACAACATGGGTGGTATCCCCACCAAGTACACTGGAGAGGTTCTCACTGTTGACGAGAGCGGCAAGGACAAGGTTGTTCCAGGTCTCTTCGCTTGTGGTGAGGCTGCTTGTGTCTCTGTCCACGGTGCCAACCGTCTTGGTGCCAACTCTCTCCTCGATTTGATCGTCTTTGGACGCGCTRTCAGCCACACCATCCGTGATAACTTCTCACCCAACAAGCCACACAAGGAGATTGCTGCCGACACTGGATCAGAGGCCATTTCTGTTGTCGACCACATCCGCAACGCAGACGGTCCCAAGAGCACAAACGAGATCCGAAGCGAGATGCAGAAGGTTATGCAGTCGGATGTTTCCGTTTTCCGAACACAGGAGTCGCTTGACGAGGGTGTTGAGAAGTAAGTTGAATCCAGCTAACAATACACGAGCAAGTACTAACATTATATCAGGATCAACAAGGTCGACCAGATGTTCAACCAGGTCGGCACCAAGGACCGCAGCATGATCTGGAACAGTGATCTTGTCGAGACCCTTGAACTCCGCAACCTCCTGACCTGCGCCGTGCAGACCGCAGAGGCCGCCGCAAACCGCAAGGAATCCCGTGGCGCTCACGCACGTGAAGACTACCCCGACCGTGACGATGAGAACTGGATGAAGCACACACTTACATGGCAGAAGAAGCCTCATACACCTGTTGAACTCGGCTACCGCTCTGTGGTCGCCAACACTCTGGACGAGGCAGAGTGTAAGGCTGTACCGCCATTCAAGAGAACGTACTAGAGAAGCGTTTGTGAGTGTGAGTGTGAGCGAGCAATGCATTTCAAGTAGCGAGGGTGTGAGGTTTCAGCCTGACGATTTTGTAAATATTACCCTAAGAATACATTGAGTCAAGACAAGTCGTCCATCTAGGGCATTATGGTGATGTATGCGTCAGTGAAGTGGAGTGGAGTGAGGATGTTGGAGTCCATTCACTTGGAAATTCGACGCTATTGTAGGACAATAGAACTCTACGCTTCGACACTCCACTCTCACTTGGGCCCAATTCAGGTTGATGATACTGCAGGACGATAGCGACAATATCTCCCCTCAACTGTCTCGAACAGGTCGAATACCTTTTGCGGAACAATGGCCCATCCCACAATGAACTTTTTTTTCCGTCATTGTTTGATGATCCGAATCCTTGGAGTTGACGCATTTGGACATGTCCTTCGTTCCCCACCATCATCACTCGCTCTCTACGATCGCACGCACAAAGCAGAATACAGTCAAGACAAAGCACGCCAGGACCCGCATCAGTCTTGAGCATGACGAGAAACACCGCCGCCCAAATTCTCATACATCCATCCATCCATCCATAGGAACCAACGTTCAGACTCATCCACCCACAAAGTCCATCAAAATGGCAACCAACCCCTACGATTCCGTCTACTCCAAACTCACCTCCGAACTATCCGCCAGGATGTCAGCCAGCCCCTACGATCCGTGGGTCTTCGCCTCACACCTCGCCCGAGCATCCCGGGCCCACGCCTCCTTCAACCCAACATTAACCACTAGCACCAGCACCAGCACCATCACCTCCCAATCAACATTCTCCCCAACGCCTACGGCTTTCAGACAGACCGGCATCATCCCACCCGGATACGAGTGGTTCGACTCTCCTTTGTGGTGGCCTCTCTTGTTGCTCAAACTCCTCTTGTGGCCTTTGATCACGCGCATCTTGGTCTTTCTCATCACCTACGGCTTCTGGATTGGAGTCCCGCTATGGGGAGTCTACAGTCTCTTCATGACCTTCTGGCCCAACTCCCAGCGAGCCGTCTATAACTCCTTGTTCCTTCGGGCATGGAGAGCCCTCCCCGAATGGCAGGCTGTGATGTTCCATCTCAGATACAATTTCGTCTTGGATAGGCTCTGGTATGAATACTACCACCTCTGGAACTTGGCGAGGAGGCACATGGTCCGAGCCTTTTTCATTGGTCTGGCCTTATGGTTCTTCTCCAAGGAATTCTTTAGGAAGGATCGTTTAGATTTGACTGGAAAGGGATTTTGGGTGCCCGGGTACATGGTGGAGAGGAAATTGGATGGAAGCAATTTTCTTGGAACAGATGATAACTTTCTCGGAGATTCCGCGAAGAAGCCGAGGAAAAAGGCAGTTGTGGAGGAAGATTCGTCGGACGTTGTGTGGACTACTGGTTCTGATAATTTTAAGGATGGCGATGATWTGTTCGATTGGGGACGCTTTCACTTTGTCCAGGAGGTAAACACTTTTGACGTACCGGGGGAGGCCGACACCTCTCCAACCACCACCATCACAACTGAGAGCTCCGATGCGGCACCCGCGGACGAAATTCCGATGTTCTACACGAGAGGCTGGGGAGGCCATGTACAGAATGGGCCTTGTGGGGAAGATGGACGGGCGTGGTGCACGTTATGTAGACAGAGACATTCCTGCGGGTTGTAGCGCAGAGTTTGAAATGAGATTTTCAATGTGAATGTTGTGGATTTCGCCCCGTGTGTTTCTCGCAATATGTTTCTCAGAATATGTTTCTCAGATGTTGATGGGTGACTGTGGTAATAGGGAGAGGATTAGAGGGCTGAGGAAGAAGTGCTAACAGGAGAGTGGATTTCCTGGATCCGCCAGGCCATCGCGAAAGGAATCGTTAGGATCGAGTRTGTTCGAGGATATGGCGCGTGCCTTCCTAGCCCTTCTAATCATTTCTATGTTTGGCCATTTTTTGTCTATTCACTCATTGCTACTTTGCTAAGCAAACTAACGCAAGAAGTATATAGGTCCCTCACAGTCGCGATGGAAAACTCACCACTACACAGACACTTCCCCATCATCGTTAAGGGGCCAAATTTTTCAAGGGTGGACTTGCTCCACTCAAGTGAATTCTTCACACCATATGTCGACGCCCGAATGGAAGCCGCACCCCAAGCAGGCTATATCCCAATCATCATGATAAACAACTATAGTAAGAGGGAGGGTATTAGAGGGTTGAGGGATAGGTGCTAATCGGAGAGTAGATTTTTGACAGAGAGATGGCTCAAAGGGCGGATTTCAAGGGTGGACTTGCTCCGCTTGAGTGAATTTTTTATCCCGAGCATATATACATCAACTTCATGGCGGAGAAGATTGCACACGACGCGGCGAAGAAGAGTAACGGCTCCTTCGCCGAGCTGTACCAGTCCGCCCTCCATGCTATCTAGGAGCTGTTCGATCTAATCAAGATGCGACAAGGCTTTGGCGATAGCAACAAGGAATACGTCGACGACTTTCGGGCGTTCTTCGCTAACCTCTACAACCGCGGTCTTCTACTTACTCTAAACAGTAGACCTTGCAATATGCAGACGAAGGAGGCCATTGTATACAGTACTATGGAATGCCACGGTGAGTATCACTGTGGTCCTCTGAATGACGCGGACGACGGAGCTTACATGGCTCCGAACAATACCAACTCGGTCGGTCTGGTATTCTCTCATATCAGTGCGAATGAAGACAGAGTTTGCGAGTCATGCAAACCGTGCGAGAAGCGTCAGAAGACGCAGGGCATTAGCCCCGACTCGGACCTCAAGACAGAGCTCTTGGACGTGGCGGAGATCCAGCGATTGAACGACAGCGACGTGTTCGCTTCCCTAGGTCCAGTCCCGACCGAGCACATCACGGGCACTCGCTTCGACGTGTGCTGCCTCCGCCCTAGCTTCCACTTCCGCCACATTGCGCGACGCAAACGCAAGAGTGAGATTTTTGGTGACTTGAAGAAGATCGAAGTGACCGTTGGGGTTGCTCAGCACAAAGTGACTGTTGGGGTCCTTCTAGGTTTCTGGGACCAGCGGGAGTTCGAGGCGCGAGGATCAAGAATAGCAAAGCATATACCATGATAGAATTGAAGCGATCAAGTAATGTCTATACGCGCAATGTCGTCTTTATCGTGCTGGTGACCAAAGGCTAGATACTCAAATGACTCCATCGGCGTTAACGAACGAGGAGGTGTCTTCTGCTTTCCATCCAATTGTCTCACAAACCTTTCCAAAAAACCATGCCAATGAGGAAGTTCCTAGAGGCTCAATAGTTGACCATCCCTTCGAGAGCGGATTCGCAAAAATATCGACTTGTTGCAGGCGGGAGGGAACTCGACCCGAGGAATGCATTCATCTTCACCCAGGAAACCGCCTTTGTTAACATTGCGTTGGTCCAGCTTTTTCCGCCCGCGCCGGAAACTCTCAAACAAAGCGACTTCATCCCGAAAAGACTCCCAAGCTTCCGAGCCAATTTCATAGCGGGCTGGATACATGAATTCCATCGATAGTTGTGAGAGAGACGATCAGATCGCATCGAATATTCGCCCCAGGTTCTCCCTCCCCGAAGCCAGGGGTAATGAGCAGCGACAGCATCCCGAGTCCGCGGAGGAAATCTCCCAGTGAGAAGAGACTATCGCCTGCAATGAATGGCCTCCCGAGCCCGCGAAGAGAGTCTCCTGGAGAAAGAGCATCAGCTGCTGGACCAGCTGGAAGATCCAAAGCCGGGAGTCTACGGAGAAGCAACCAACAGAATTCCGTGGCTGTCAAGAAGAACAGTCGATATCCTCCTCCCGGCGGCAATCCTCCCTCACTTCCTCCTCCCAAAGCGCGACTCCCAGCTCCACCTCCACCGACTGATCCGCCTCCCAAAGCCCCACCTCCACGAGCACCACATGAAAAAGATGAAGATTTCAAGAGACGTTTGCAGGCTGCGTCAAGAAAGCCAATCGTTGCGGCAGCATCGCCAACACGAGCCTCCACACCACCTAAAAGRCCTCCAAGACCATCGAGTGAGTTGATGCTGGACAGATCCCAATCGCAATCCCCATCGTTTAGACGCCTCAAACCGAGCATCGAACGTGCGACAACCACCTCCTGCGCGTCGCCAAGAGGAGAGTCGCCTCTAAGACAAATGACCAACATGCAAGAATCAAGAATCAAACCCTCAGACCCACGACCTCTATCCGGGGTGTTCCACGAGCCCTTCATCCCAATGGCAAAACCCTCGCGAGCAAGCGTACTATCTCTTCAACGCCCACCTCTGTCAGAGGCATCCATCAATGCCGCAGCAGCTCGGATGATTCGGGACAGGAGGGGTTCCGGATCGACAACGTCATCTCTCGCAATGTCATCAATCAGTCTGCCATATCCTACGTTCACTACTGAGAGAGTAGTACCGGACCCGCCTCGCGCCACGAGTTTGATATCTTTGCGAAGAGCCCGCAGCACGTTTTCGGGCGGCGATTCGCGAAGAGAGWATACGAGGAGACATGCGAGGAAGAAGAGTTCCGGTTTGGATTCTCAGTCTCGTAGTGGAGTTAGGTCACTGCTTTCGAGGCGGATTGATGCTGCTAGTTTTTCTCGTTCTGTGCCTGTGCGGCCAGAGATTCTCAACATCGATAATTTAAAGAGAGCACCGAAGCAGCAAAGCGGCTTGGCAAAGTCCATGAAGCCGACTTCACCTACAGCAGTGAAAACGTTGGGAAGGAGGAAGAGAAAGGGTGAGACGATGAGTATGCTTCTTGATGTGAGTTTTCCAAAAGTTTGATTGATTGAGTGTGAGATGAGAAAAGAAACTGACCGGCCTCGAAGGATGGCTTCTTCCCTGTTGAGGAACTCGTGTATGGTAGTAAGCCACCCATGGCCAAGGCCAAGAACAGGTATACTTCCATGGCTGGGTTCAAGATCAACTTGCCACCACGCTTGAGCTTCATCGAATCGACCTCGCCCTTGTCTCCAATCACTCCACCATGGGCAGCTAAGCCGACAACGCCCGATGGTGGTAGTGAGACACCAACAACGCCGAGATCAGCCAGGAATCGACGACACGCAGGACAGAGTCTGCTTCCTCAGATCTCGGAGAGTGAAGATGGTGGTGGCGAGCAAGGCGCAACCGGGGTCGATATCGATCAAACATCACCAAGCAAATCAAAAGCCAACCCCGGAGGCACTACATCCAGAGATGAGCGTTCGCCCTCCCCAGGGACGGTGGCGCCGGTGGCGACGCAGATACAGCTGAGAAATGGGTCCATCGTRACACTCACACCGCCTGAGCTTACCGCGTGGCAGCCCACGATATATCTACATGGTCCCATCAAGCTGCCGAAGCCGACAATCATGCCCCGAAAGAATTCCGTCGCGACCTYGGATCCGTTCCAGGATGCTATTGAGAGATTGTACCAGAGTACTCTGACCATTCCTCGGCGACGGAGCGATGATGCCGTGGTGGATGATATCTGCGAATACTTTGACGCCTTCGGCTTCGRTTTGATCAGCTTCGCGGGCGACGACTTTTCGTACACGGACTTTGGAGTTGGGGAAGTGAGAGACATTCATCTCGATGCCGAGAAGTTCACCACACCCCCGACGGAGCCAGCCCTGGTCCCCCCAGCGGAAGCAAAGATTTCAAACGAGACGCTCGAACGGAGGCTGAGCTCTCTGTCATCCTCTCTGCAAGCACCGCCGGTGGAGAACGAAGAGACGCTCCGGGCACGAGGCATCGCCCGGTTGTCGCGCAATTCTGCGGGAACCACGCCAGACGAGGGCAAAGCGGGGAGGAAAGAATCCATCACGCTCAGCAAGCCACAGACGTCGGCGGTGCTTCCACTACTACCAGCTCCCGAAACCAGCATGCTGGATGCTGTTCTCCAGCCCGCACAGCGAGATGGGAGYTACAACGCAAGCGGGTCCAGCCAGCGCCGCCCAGAGGCCACGAATGCGTTGCTCAATCGCAATGTGAGTCTGCACATGACCAGATCTTCCAGCAGTGGCGTGCAGGGTGGGAGAGACGACGGCGTGGAGGAGATGATGAGTGCGGCCACGACCTGGTCGGGAAATGCGAGGCCTGTTGTCGCTGTTGCCGTTGCTGCAAGCAAAGAGCCCAAGCTGTCGAGAATGCGCCGGCTTGTCGCCACGGCGTCGTCCATTCTGTAAGAGCGATGCCGGTGGTAGTGTAGCAATCAATAGAGCATGGTATTGGCAGGAGTATGTCGGTCATCAAGTTTCACGTCGAAGCCATATTTAGTGCGCAATTTCCACGGGCCAAGCTGGTGACCAGCATGATGAGTTTGTGTTTGGTGTGTCGTGAGGTGGWCGGCGGAGACGGCGACTAGCGTCTTCTTGATGTCGTACCGGTTGCGTATGCGAGGAAACCAGATGAGATTGCCTCCAGTCTTGGGCGATGATGGGCCATGGCGTTTGTTCGTTACTCGTCCTATGCATCGGTGCATCAATAATTATTATTGAAGGACTTTCAACCCATCCATCCATGCTCCACTTAAATCATCCCGTCACAGCAGGACCCAGGCCCGGCGATCTTCACACGATCGTAGCGGCGTGCAAGGGAGTCGCACGGAATCGTTCGCGTCCGTCTGGGCGGGACGTCATGGCGCGAGTGATGAATGGTCGGCGGGGTGGAAGGGGCAGAAGGCGAGCTGGGATGAATGGGACGAAGGACGGAGCCAGTGCACGCCGTCGTGGAGCGGCGTGGAAAAAGTGCAAACGCCCGGGATCCTGAATTGGGAAGACGCATCAACCCGCGCTGACGGCGGCGACGGCAGGGACTCGAACGTCACGAATCGGGCAGTGTCGGTGGGGGAGTGGAATTCCCGCAATTGGTCGCCTCGACATAGATCGGTGCGCTGTCACTTTTTTGACTCTCCACTCATCAAGCATCAAACTTGGCAACCTGGGAGGATGTGGTTTGCTTGCCCTTGCGTGCAGGGAACATGCATGCTACCGTGCGGGAGGTCAACGAGACGGCGCAGGGCCTCGAGCATAAAGCCCATCTTCTGCGCCCGCTGAAGAAAGTGTGCATATTTCCGAACACGAAGTCATTGCCATTGCCATATCGCTCGCGCGCCCGTCCGCCTCAGTATAGCCTCGACTGCAGCTTACCTTACAGCCCCGTCGAGCCCCGTCCGCCCTACTCTTCCATCTGACATGCTTTCGGGATACCACAGCGCCTCTCACCAAAGCACAAACGGCATCGTAGATCTGGACAACGCAAGTCACTGGCCGGCCGCGGCTTGGACAACAGCGCAGCTGGACCATCAAAATCCGCCCTGCTTCAGCAATGTCATGCCTCGCAGCATGCAGAGAGACTTGGCGGAGATCGATCTGGCACTGGCCAACGACGATGGCATTACCGGACCCTCTGTACGAGCAGGAACTCAACCCGCCACCGCTGATATATTGACTGACATGCACAGGCGATGACATCTCAGATAGAGGCAGCCCCGATGTTCAACTTCGACTGCCACTTCTCTCCGATGCCCATRGCTCGGACCACATCCGACACATCGGGCTACCGCCCAGCTCATCCGCCCCATCACCATCAACATATGCAACCCGCCAACGTCAACCGCAAGCGAGATTTCCATCAAATCGACATGGGTCTCTCGCAAACCTACTCACACAATTCGATACCTTGGCCACAGCAGCCGCGTGTTGACGAGGTTCAGGTCTACGAGCCTGGCGACTATTGCTCAAAACTTGCCAACGAAGCAAGTGTAACGCAAGTCGCTACGAAGAAGCAGCGGGTGGACAGCTTTGACGAAAATCAGCTGTTCGCCYGGAGCTCGTCTTACGCCCCAAACATGTGTGTGCCATCGGCACATGATGTAGCGCCCAGTGCGGACATTTCGACCTCCAAGTCGACCCATTTGTCGCCATGCTCGCTCACTTCAAGTGAGGACTTGAGCAGACATAGTAGTGTGAGCAGTGCGTCGGTGAATGACGCTTTCGACATGATGCGGGTTGAGTCTACCTTCTCTACTGCTTCTGATCTCTTTCGTCTTGATGGCCCTTTCGTATCGTGTGCAACTACTAAGCCGGTATGTAGCAAGCCCATCACCGGCTTGAACGAAGGCAGTGTTTCGCATTTACTTGGTGGCGTGGGGTATGTTGGCGCGGACGCCTTTTCTTTCTTTGGTCAAGATCTTTCTGCTGCTCCTGTTGCTGTTCGCGCACAATACAACCCATCGCAACCCAAAGAACACACCGCGGTTGGCGAGAACGCCTCGAACGACGAGCAAAAAGAATCGCAACGAAGACGGAAGCACATCGACAACTCTCGGCAGTGCATAGCTCCGAAGCGCTCATCCACCGCACGAGCAGCCCGCTCACCCAAGTCACAAAATCCCTCTGCAGGGTCTCAATCACAGGAGGACTCAACCCCTGTCTCGAATTTGCCATCGACCACAAGCGGGAGCGCCGCTCAAAAGAAGGAGGCCATCTCCAAGACTCCCTATGTTCGCCCGCAGCACCCGAAGCTGTACTGCAACATGTGCGAGGATTCGAGTGGTGAGTATTTATACCCCCGCAGCCACAAAACTGAGTAGCTGATGCCCCATCTCTCGCAGGCTTCCGAGGCGACCATGAATTGAGAAGACATTGGGACCGCGAACACGCTCAACGCCGAAAGGTCTGGATATGTCTACAACCCACCACGCCTTCAGAATGGTGGCCCGCCAAACCACTCAGCTCGTGCAAGCAATGCAAACAGCAGAAACAATACAACGTCTACTACAACGCCGCAGCACATCTCCGCAGAGCACACTTCTGCCCGAGAAAGCGCGGCCGCAAAGCAAAAGGCGAACAGCGGGAGAGTAGAGCTGGCAAGGCCGGAGGTGACTGGCCTCCAATCGATTGGTTGAAGGCCAACGGTTGGCTCAAAGAGATTGAGGTGTCTTCCACGCAGACTTCGACTCCAGCGGAAACTCCACTGGACTCCTCCACGCCGGAGGTGATTGAGGAGCGTTCCGTCACTCAAATTGGAGCATTTGCGCCGCCATACGATTCTTTCGCGCAACACTACGCTGGACTCGTCAACACAGCTCATGTACCAACGCAGTGGCACGACGCTGACGTCCCTGTTCCTATGCAGGAGACGGTCTCGGCCCCCGCATCGTTCCCCTCGACAGCTGCGATGAGTCTCTACGTCGCGAATGGGTATGCTTTTTGAGGGAAAGTTGGAAAAGTAGAATCGGAAGATATTCATCCCTTTTCTATCTGGGAAACATCATAAGCAAGGCCCAAAGCTAGTCTAGCACGAATTAACGCCATGTCCATATGGGTATCAACACTCAAAACGCTACATAATAATGGACAACTCAACCTCACATCACAACTCCTTTACAAAATCTCGTCGGTCTCGTCCTCGGTCTCGTCGTCGTCATGCTGAATATGCTGTCGATCCCAACGTAGCTTCTGAATTACCCCACGATCGACCTCCAGTTCCGCTTCAAGTCGCACAATCTTCGACTGTAGCTCCACAATCTTGGCTTCTTTCGCTTTGAGTGCTAGACGAGAGATTTCTCGGCCTTTTGCGACACCCTGTGCTTTGAGATCATGTCTGGAAAGTATCGTCCGTAGAGTGGAGAGTTTCTCTGGTGGTAATGAGACGCCGGAAAGATGAGCCAGCACTTCTTGCGTCAATGAACTCGCGCAGTCGGCGGGATTGGCCAGCGCATCTATGAATCTTGCGTGCGGTGTAGGTGAATCTGGTGGTCCTGAAATTGTATTTGTCGTGCTAGCATTACCTCCCAATAATCTCGATGCTGATGAGTTGGAAGGAGTAGCTGGATATCCACCCGTTGACTTGATAGTGGAGGAGGGAGTAGCCGGTTGTTCAAGCCAAGGTAGCTTTCTTGCACTTTTCTTGCCCGTGGCGGGCGTTGCGTAGACTCCAATCTTCTGTGCTTTGTGGGGAGTCTCGAAACTGTCCGCTACACGGAGAAAAGCATCGTCGTCGTCATTCAGACCCCAATTATCGTCGCTGTTGTCAAAGCCAGTACTCGCTAGGCTACGCTTGGAGCCTGATTGTAGAGTATCGTAAGGTGAGAGAGTCGGTGACCGGTGACCATCTCGCTCCCGCTTGGCGTTTGAGTTGGAAAAGACGCCGTTGCCAGATACTGCTTGTCGCCCAGCATTCCACCCGTCTTGATCGTGGTGACGATTCTGCTGCACTTCACTCGTACTGTTGGACATGACCGTCGCTGCTTCGCGAGGTTTCGCATCCTCGTCCCAGAGGAAGAAACCACATCGTTTCGGCTCCTGTTGTTGGCATGTGTAGAACCACCGGCCTTTGTTCTTTCCTTCCTTCTTCACCCGGAAATGCTCTGCAGGCAAACGGGGATTGCAATCACACTTCCAGATCCTCTCTTCGAACAGTCCTCTTTGACGGCCACCTCGTTTTTGCATCTTGTGTTTGGGATGAAAGTGATGTCAGAGAACATAAGTGCCCTGAAGGTGAAGTCGCTCCGAAACTAGCGTCATCGCGAAACTCAATCAAAGGCGACCCCAGTCCAAGCTCGAGCTCTCCACATTCATACGGAGAAAGGTAAGTACCACATCACTCTTTGATTGACACTGCCTGCAACCGAGCACCACCTCAGCCGTGCAAAAGTACAGCACACAGCTGCAAGAAAATGACGACCGCTTCCGAGCTCGATCTCTCCTCGTTGGACAAGGACCCACGCCTGTTCCTCTACACATCCCTGACCGCGGGGTCATCCCATATCATCACAGCAACTAGCCGCATGGAAACCATCCTCAAAGCGAATCGTATTCCCTTTTTGGCTGTAGACCTCGCTACAGATGAGAAATGTCGGAGATTGTGGCAGAGGAGAGGCGGTGCGAAGAAGAAGCTCCCGGGATTGGTCAAGGAGGGTTACATCATAGGCGTATGTGCGTGAGGGTCGAGGCGGGATGTAGTCTGGCTGGGACTAATGTTGCGGCAAATGTAGGATTTGGAGGAAGTGGAAGAGTGGAATGAATTCGGGTAGGTGTCTTGATGGTCATCGATATTTGCCAATACCTTATCCATGGTTCATGCTAAATGTGCTTTCCCAGAGAGCTTCAGGAAAATATTGGACCGGTTCCTCCAAGCAATACTGCTCCCCCGGGAGCACATGTGGGCGTCAGTACTGCTCCGCCATTATCGGCAAATGTCAAGGCGGCGCAGGGACCTCAGGCAAATGTACCACAGTCTGGATTCGACAAGACAAAAGCTGTGGCATTACCTGGTGCGGAAGAAATGGCTGCGATTCTCAAAGCGAAAAAGGCCGAGCAGGCTGCAAAAGCAACCCCCGTGCCCGCTCCTGTTGTATCAGAAGCTCCAACTCCAAAATTGAGTGATGCAACCAACTCGGAAAAGGTGACGAGCGGGGAGAAAAGCGCAGAGAAGGCGTCGAAGGAAACCACCAGCAGCACAGAAAAGGACGACTTGCTCAAGGAGGTTGAAGCAGTCGACGTCGACTCACCAAAGCAAGAAACCAAGGCGGAGACCGAACCTCCTACTGAGGGCGTTGCGGGACTACAGGTGAAGGAAGAAGCAGCAGAAGACGCAGAAGACGCATCCGAGGTAAAGGCATCAGAAGTGACATCGACAAAGGATAATGTCGAGGCCAAGAGTGATGTACAAGATGACGAGCAAACCAAGACTCAGGAGCAAAGCGCCAAAGATCCTGCGGCTGCGGGCCAGAGTGTGGAGGACTGAATATTAAAAAGTAATCTTCGACTGGGCAGCTTTGTTACATCTCTCAATAATACAACACAATGCTGCGAGACTTTGCTGTATCCGTTGGCCATCCCTCCGCCAATGTACACTCCACGACGCTTAATTCATACAAAAATGGGTATCTCAACACACACACACGCACACTCAAATTTTTCGCAGGTTCTTCCACACTTTCTTCAATCCACCACCAGAAGACGACGTCATCCGCGGCGTCACCGCAAAAGCCCCCTTTGCGCCCGTGTGGTCATCGCAGACCGGCAATGGATCAAGTGCGAGTGGATCCGCGTGTGAAATGTCAACGCCGGAGGCCTGCATCCTGGCCATGGAGTACAGTCTGTCTTCTGGCCTCCTCAGGTCTGACCTCGTCAATGACATTCTCATCGTCATAGATCGGCTTGCGTCGAAATCGGGAGACATGGACCGAATGCTTCCTTTGCCCTGCTGGAAGCTGTAGGGTGATATGACGCCGCAATCCAAGGAGCCATGGTGAACAATGCCCGGGTTGTAGCCTTCTGTCGTTACTGATGGCGTCCGTGGACCACTGAGGTAGTCGTCTTCGTCCTCGTCATCATCATCACGGGTATTTGTTATAGAAAGCTCGTCCAATTCTGAAGCAAGCGATGGCTGTACACTCGACATGGGCGATGTGGTGCCTCGTTCTGGAAACCCAAATTCGAGAGCTTCGTCAAACTTGGCAGGGGATGTGAGGAATTCGCGTAGCTTCGACCGTGCATCGGTGTCTTTGTAGTATGTCGTTTCCGGGCTCGGTTCTGTGGGTCTGGAAGTCGGTGGCAATGGGAATGATGGAACCGCCGGCGACAGTCTCGGAGGCGGAAGGGGTAGAGGTGCTAGTACAGAGATTCTCTTTCTGGATTTGGCCTTGGTGCGTCGAGATGCGGGCCGCTGTATGGAAATGAGTGTTGGTCGCGATTGCGAAAGGTTGACGGTAGTAGCGGAGGCGCCTTCATCGCCAACGTGAGGGTGCATGTCCGACGTTTCATCGGCATCCACATGCTCGAGACTCTTGAGCGAGTCTGTCTTGCTGTCGAGCCAGTCCTTTTCCATGTCTGGGAAACAGTCGCCAGAGTCCGTTGAGAAAGACCGCGAAGATCCAACACTCCCATGCCGATCCTGCCTCACACGATGGGGACTGCTATGCAACGCCGCCCAGCCCAGCACCCTTTCTGAGCTTTCGGTTAAGAGAATGAGTTCTTCCCTGGTGAAATGTGCTCGCTTCACTTTGCTCGGTAGGGCCAAAAAGCGTAGTGCTTGATGCTCATCAACATCTGCATCCAATCGACAACGAGGAGCAGCCACGGCCTCCTTAAAGGATGAGATTCCAAACGAAGCGTGAGCTGTCCTGGGCCTGAGGACATCCGCAGAGGGGTCAAGTGATAGACATGGGCCTTTGATAGCAACCGTCTCCCCGCGGCTTTGTGCTGCGGACTCCTGGGCGATACGCAATCTTTCGACTGACGAGAAGTATTTCCTCCTAGAGTGTTTGTCAGTGAGGCGTGCATATTGGGCTGTATGTTCATGGACGTGTTTGGTTAGAAAGGTGATGGTGGCGGTTTCATCTTAACCGGACCAAGCGATTTGTGCACGGGGTACTCTGCTTTGATCACGATCCATATCGAGAGCAGTACAGATTGTAGAGATAGACTCACTGGATAGATGTGGGCAGGCAGGCGTACTCCGCCGGTGATACCATGCCAGCCGACGACCGCGGCGAAGTGGAGAACATGGACGAGACGGCCTTGGCAGTGCGGCCAATAGGTTGGGGTAGTCTCGATGATGATGTCGTTGTTGTTATTGTTGTTAGTGGTGGTGGTGGTGGTGGTGGTGGTGTTGTTGTTGTTACTTCGTCGTCCGATGAGAGCCAGCGAGAGAGGAGAGATCCTGGCGGGGCGTGATGACTTCGCGGCGACATTCTGGTTTAAGAGCCTCGGGATGGAGGGCACTGTTCTTGAGGGAAGCACGCGTGCAAATTAAAGTGCCCAGCGGGCGTGTGGTGGAGAACTGTGTAACCGTCACAAACGGAGGAACTTCCTCGCGCAAAGAAGGTCTATGCGTTCGAGATGATTGCCCGTTTGTTGCCAGGGGACAATGCTCCCGTGGTGGAAAGGGTTTGGAAAAGGTTACAGTGACGCGGCTGGGCCAGCGGCCGCTGATGAGTGCGAGGGGATCCATTCATAGATACGATGTGAGGCTGATTATTGAAGCGCTGCCTGCTGAGAAAGCGACGCAACCCCCGCCAGGGAAGCCGTCCATCACCTGAGCATGATACCTATCAATTACCCTAAGCCCGGCAAGCTCAGCCCTTGCCTTCCGACAAGAGGAACGCTTATAAGCCGACCATTCACGCATCGATCTTTGCTGCCCGCGAGCATTAGCGTGCTCTAGCAAACCACGTTCTTAACGCCACTGCACCCACCAGGACATGTCACTCGCTCATGGTCCAAGTCGAGTTGGACCATGGTGTGCGCAGATTCATCGTTGTTGTCGAGGGAAAACAAAAGGCCGAGCAACGCAGATCTTCATCGCGGCAACGACATGCTTGTCTAGCCGCACATCCCAACAACTCCAACGACTGAACCTGGAGAGCTCGGACGCAAAGACCAGGACGGCCCTTTCACACATTCGACCCCTCCAGGCGGTGCTAGTTGCACTGGCATCGATACCTTATTCTCCTGCAAGCGATAGACGATCAAGCGCCAAGAGCCTCGTCTCTCACACTCAGACACGGTCATTGGTCGTGGCTAAAACTAGACCTACTAACAAGCACGCCCGACCCGTTCCTTGGAATCGAATCTCGCATCCTCTCGGGAGGTGTCTCCTGGTCGATGATGACGATGATGGGAGCAATCATCACAGATATGCTGACAGGTCAATTTATCATGGCGAAATTGTCGCCTCAAGTGCTTCTCCCCATCAGTCGGGCATTTCATGCAACGAGGTCGTCCCCACACGTCCAAGAAGGGGAGTTGCTGGATTGTGGAAACTCTCGAGAAAGCCAGAAGATCATGGGTGAACATCATTTGCGAACCTCGTTTCGCCCACGCTGGTTGGTTCAGGTCACGGATTTCGCGCGTCCCGAGCTTCTTTTTTCAAACGGCGATCTTCTCATCAAGAATCGCCATGCACTCATGTCACTTGTGATTGAGAGTAAGCACTACTCTGGACTGGGCACCTCCACCTGTGTAACAGAATCTGTAAACATTCACTTCGTCAGGCAGAATCGGCCAAAACCATCGACCGATGCAATGCAAATACTGACCCACAATCTTATATGCATGTCAACTGATTACTCAACTGCCACATGGCACAATACCTGCCTCCACATGGCGTGCATGTCCCAGACGGTTTATTAGTAGTACCTGATGCTGGTACATTTGCTGCGGATGCTTTCTCTTCGCGTTCCCCGTCTGCCGTCAAGCAGGGAATTGGTGCCGAGATGACTTTTGTCACCCAAGGGCTGTGTCTTCCCTTGCCGAACATCCGAGGTAGCGATGTTCGTCGAGTACCTCCAAGGTAGGCTCTCAGTAACCGCAGGTTTGACGAACGTCGATGCCACGGATGGCGCATCCATCTCGCGCATGTGCTCATCTCGCATTGGCTGGGTCGGGGTTCCGAGTGATACTTACCACTCTTGAAAGCTGAAACATTGATCACGAAGACCTCGGTGTTGTTCTTCGTTTCCTGGTTCGTAGCAAGACGTACGGTACTTGCGGCGGTCAGGCAAGGTAGCGCCCGCTATTAGGGCCGCTATTAGGGCACCTAAAGATCTTCCAAAGACATCCTTTCCATCCACGACACAACTCCGAGCTTCCTACCCCGGTCGTTAATCGATGTACTGAGAACAGTTGATTCTTGCATTTATAGAACATTCCGAATTAAAATCCTCACGCTCATGTCACTTCGTAATCTACACCTCATCGTCTGGAAGTGCGTAATAGTACGAATCATCAACTCCCTCTCGACTCGGCACAGGTCTAGTTTCTGTCGTATCACCCTTTGCACCCATCTCCAGAGCATCCCAGTCAACATCTTCCCACCGAAGGTTGAGCATCCTCAGGCGTACTCCCCAGTCCTCCATCATTTCAACCAATCGTGCCGTGTCTTTGGTGATCGGTTGCTGATTTAGCAGCATCAGCAGGCCATCCAACCACTCGGATGCTAGGAATGCTGTCTGCGGAAAGAGTTCTAATAGGGTCTGCTCATCTTGGTCACTGCCTTTCATCTGAGCTAGGGGAGCATTGCCCAAAATAGTGATCTTAGTGCTGGTCCCTTTCGCTGAATCTTCGCGAGCGGAATCCTTCAAAGTCTCCGAGCTGTCATTTTTCATCTTCAACAGGGGCTGCTCGGACGCCGAAACATTGCTGTCGACTGATGTGACGGTATTAAGGTCAATCTTGTCCGGCAAGTCTTCCAACGGAGGCTCGTGCGTCCCCTTGGATTCATAGTTCTGGAAGTGCAGCCATCGTCTGTTGTGACTGAGTCGCACGTACCGCCAAGAAGGTTCATCTGTCGGGGTTGCTGGCACGGGGAACCAAGACCCTTGGAGGAGGCATCGGATTCGTTGCTCCTTCATGAACTGGAGACTCTCGTGATGTAACTGCTCGCGGACCTGCACCAGGTGCGGTCCCYAGGCGTCCTGATATACTTCGTTGAGGTTCTCCATCTGCCATGCTCGCGCAGTTTCCAGACTAACGACCCGAAGTTCTTCCTCGACTTTGCTGATGTCGGTTTTGCGGGGGGCGAAGCCCACAACGTGCTCCACGACAATGCGGATCAGTTCTTCGATTCGGTAGATGTCCTCGACCTGCGCGCCCGAGTCCTTCCAAAGGCGGAGAAACGTGTTGAGCGATGCGGTGTGCAGACGTCCCCACTGCAGCAATAGCGGCTTGTACAGCTTGTCCACACTTTGATCTGCTCGATCATCAACGCTGGCACCGCTGACTCCAGATTCTGTGGCTTCGTCAATCTCAAAGTGCTCGTACATGATCAGCGTGACACTCAAGCTTGCGCGAGCAAGAGGGCAGCGCATTTCTTGACTCTGGTTGGATTGTTCCAGGAGTGTCTTCTGATAGGCATCCTCATTCCGCCGGGCATAGTCCACCAAGTCCATCATACCCAGGTATCCTGTCTCGTCAAATTCCCACGCAGGAGACTCGGTCTCGAACCCCAATCGTCGCCACTTCTTGGGATGATGTTTCCGAACCTTGTCGCCATTGACTCCCACAGGAGGCGTATATGGTATAGGTTTGCTGAGCAGGTGTATGGTTTTCAACGCACGCTTGTGCTCGGGCAATTCCAAGTTGACCATTACATCCCTCCACTTCCTCAGCAGTACCTGAGTGAGCCCCTGGAATTCCAGAATGGCGGTCGCCAGGGGGCTGTCCACGTATGTCGCGGCATCTCCTCGCATGAGCGTCCCAACACCACCAATTACACCTAGATCTTGCAGCCGCTTGATGAACTTTGGCCACTCGTGCTCTCCACCATTCACAATAGCGTCACGCATCAATGCATTGACAAGCTGTAGCGCATTGGCGCACAGAGTATGGTCGGAAGCGCTGAGGCGCTGTACCAGCGACTCGAGGAACTGCGGGTGGTTGTCCAAGGCTGGCTTGATAGCGCGAAAGCCGTATGCGTGGTCGTCGTCGTTGATCTGTGCGGCAGACATCGGCCTCGACACTACCAGAACGAGTAGCTTCAAAGCATTTCGCACAATGTTGACAAGCGGGTGGGAAATGGCAAGCGAGAGTGCCTACGCGCGTGTCAGAGACGGCTCAAGTCCTCGTGAAGGTCGGCATCTCGTTCGGGGCGCATCCGTTCAACCTACCGTTTCCAGCACCTCACCGTCGCAGCACTCCCAGCCCAAGTCCAACTCCAGCAGGGCATCCAAACTGCCCAGGGCATACGCCTGCGTGTTGCCGCTGGTGTCGAGGACGGCCTGGCGCAGCGCCGGCAACCCATCCGCGCGGATGAATTCGTCGGCCCAGGACAGATCGCCCAGTGCACTCTTCAACTTGAACACGGCATACTTGCGCGCACTTTCAGACTCCGCAGTGAGCCCGGCAACGAGCGTGGACACATCGGGCGAGTCATCCATGTGCGGGGACTTCCTGGAGGGCTGTGCGGCTTGCTGCAATCGGCGTGCTCTGTCGTCCCCGCTACCGGCTGTCTTCGCTCATGCACTGAGAGATTTGGCAAATGACGAGAAACACAAGAAGCGTGAGCAGTAGTCTGAAATGGCGAAACATGATTGTAGGGGATAGGTGCTATTAGTATACCAGCACGGACGGAGTGTGGACCGCGGCAGTGCTTCCTCTTGACTCGCGGCCAGCACGCTGTAGATCCCGCCGGGACGAACAGCGCCAGTGCAGCAAACGCCCGCTGGGCAGGACAGCGACAGCAACGGGTGGGTGCGAGCAGAGCTGATAGAGGAAGTTGAAGCAAAAGAAGTAGTCGGCAAACAACCTGGGGAGGTACGCCGACTCGATATTAATCGCCACGCGCTTAGGCGTGAGCATCACCTAACTTGACCAATTGAGTTTTGCAATCTATGGATCTTCAGACACATCCAGAGAAGTCACGTTGACCTCAGCTGTTGTAGGGCATTGATCATTATGGCCCTTAAGAGACATTCATTGATAAATTACAAGAAGTACAACGCTAAAGCGCTCGCAATGAAGCCTCCCCATATATTTGCGCCGTTTTGAACCTCAAATATCGACAGATGCAGAAAGTCGTGTCAGCGTTGAATTTGTTCATGCCGCGTATCATGAGCATCTCRGCCAGATGCTCAAGGTATGTATGTTCGGGGGGATGCGATATTCATTTCCTCCAGCCGACATTCCTACTGTGTGTTAGCGATACTCGTCTGCGCATCTGGAACTCGGAAATCATAACTCACCAGATTACGTGTGCAATGTCCTTTGCGGTATTGTAAGTCTCGGAAACACGACCGAAGAGACCGGCAGCAACCACGTCATCCTCGTCTTCATCATAGGGCATAAACATGCCGCTTTCCGTCCTCCGCATCCCCTCAATTTCGTAATCACTCTGATATGATGTTGAACTGGTAGCTCGCGCCTTTCCATGCCCGGGGACGTCACGTCGGCTGGGCTTGTTCACGGATGCTCCGAGCGATGACTTTGGATTGCTGGGTCCAAAAGACCAAGAAGAGTCGGAACTCAACTCCTCCTCTTCGTCGTCATCCGCTATGAGGAAGTTGCTGGATGGATGTGCCGGTCGCAGTGTTTCCTGGGACGGGCTAGGACTCAGACGATTACCGCCCCACGTCCGACCAAATGTGTGGTGCTGAGCTTCTTCTGTCACGTCTGGGCTGTCGGTTCGGTATTTGAGGGTGGTTGATGGCAATGTTTCGATGATTTTGCGTCCGCTCGTTGAGCTGCTTCGGCTCCCTTTGCCTTGGGAACCTGATTTCTTTGCGTTTGGCCGCTTTTTACGTTTCATCATGACAACACCCTCATCACTGCTAGAGTCTGATGATTGCGGTCGAAAGTGGTGTGACTCGTCGTCACTTTCATCGTCCTCATCAATTCCAGCGTCTTTGCAGTCAATGGCGATGCATTGCTCTACGCGGTCGTCGAAACGAATGTGTCGTTTCTCGTGGCCATCGCAAGGCGTGCCGACGCTGCTGCTACTGCGACTTGTGAAGTAATCAACTTGATCCCGACTTGGTGTTTCTGAAGGCAACTTCGAATCTGAAGGGCCCAGGCTGGTCCCTGTACCTCGAACATAACGACACTGTGCCTGGACAGAAGCGGCCGCCTGCCTCACCAGTGATGATGTCGACAGAGACTTCTGCAGCATTACTTCGGACATGCTTCGCTTTTTGAGGATGGGTTTTTTGTTAACGAATGAGTTATTCTTGGAAAGTTGAGATCCCGGCTCCGATGCTTGGGTTTTAGTGATGGGATAGGATGACGCGAGTTTCAATGGACCATAGAGCCAAGTTACATCAGACTCTTTTAGCCTGCAGTTGTTGGTCAGTCAAAACGATCGAGTGCATGTGGCTTGCAGGCGGGAACGAACCAATTCAGCCTCTCCGGCGACACAGTCTCGAGATCGAACTTGGTCTTGGCYCACGTCCGCCACGAGGCGTTCTCCAGTCGTGACCTCTCACCATACACCGTCCTCCTCTGCGCAACAATGTTCCTCCACGAAGACCAAATGTCTTCTTCTCGCCAGTCATGGCTCAGGAAGTCGACTTGTCGTGAAGGCAGTTCCTTGATCGCGGTATCATCGGACACGGTCGGAGTCAGCAGTGGGGAATCGGAGCGCGTGGTGTCTGTGGTCGTGTACTCTGTTCGGTCGTCCGCAGAATCCCCACACAGAGACGAGGAAGAGGCCATGCTATAGTCTCCATCCTCGTGGCTGTAGGGGACGTCGTCGTAGTTGGGAAAGCTAATGTCTGTGTCGAACGAGTCGTTTCTCTCTAGTGACCGGCTGCTGTCATGTGAAGTGGCATTGGACAAGCTTGAGAAGGAAGTGGCAGTCGAGGGCGGGAGTGACGATGCCAGATGCTCCTGGTGCTCGGCATGGGGCGTGTTATGATCAGGCTTGGGGCTCGAAGAAAGCAAATGGTTGTCAAGGAACAGCGAGGACGAGGATAAAGTCGACTGGTGCATTCCCGATCCGGAACTTTGGTAACAGGACTGTGCTTCCGGCTGCCGGGGAATGTACAAGACTTCGGTCATGCTAGCGGTGACAACATGGACACCGACAGCAGTGACGCGGACGACGGGTTGGGTGAACTCGAGGCGTCAGGCAGAGAAGCGAGCGTGGAGTCGCGGAATTGTGCTTTTGGTGGTGGTGATGGTGGTGGTGCTGGTGCTGACACGGCCTTGTCCTCGGCTTGTGGTCTTCCCTGCAATGGCCGTCCCTTTCCCCAGACTCGAGTAATTTTCAGCGCAAAATCCAGTCCAAGAATGCACTGCGACTGGGTGGAGACGTCGAAAGTTCGTGCCGAGTCGGTGAGAGAGGTTTGGACGAGGAGTAGCGAGCGGATGGTGGTGGGTCGGGCTGTTCTGGTCGTGGGTGTGGAATCCGGGGAGAAACACACAGGGACAGAAACAGCTGCAGGCCGTCGGTGGTAGCAGTGGTGTGATGATGGATGCGGACGTCTGAGTCGGAGCTGTTGCTGGGACTGGCGGCCAGAAATCGAAATCGCAACGAATGGTACGCACGAGCAGAGGATCAGGTTGCAAACTGCCCACTGGCTAGGGCGAACCTTCGTGCACGCTGGCCCTGGCCGCGGGAAGGCGAAACTTGTAGGCCCGGGCGAGCTCTGCTGGACGAAAAAGGTGCGGGCGGATGAGGGGTGGCGTCGCACGGCACCTCTCGCGCTCTCGGCATTCCGCAAGATAGACGGCTTGGTATGGTCGATTCATTGGGGCCTGCGCAGAGGACGACAGACGGCCACACGCAGGTCGCACTACGCGCGAATGGCCAAATGGTCGCATGCATGGGTGCGGTGGAGAAGAACGGGTCAGGGTTCAAGGCGTTGTTTCTTCCGCGCGCTTCCCCAGACTCTTGCTTGTTCTGGTCTGGGCCTACTGGCCGCCGCGTCTCAGACTCATCAGAAATGTTGTTCATCGATCGTACTCCGCGTCGGGAGCAAAAGCCTATCGCCGGGCATCGCCAGCAGCTGCGGACATCGCCCCCGCTTGTTCCATTACGGGCAGTCTCCGCCCACGCCTATATACGCATGTACGAGATGAAAACTGCCGTCTGTGAGAACAAACCGCCTCTTAGGCTCGTCGTCTTGTCCCAACACCCTGCTTCGTCGGAGATCACGCCTGCGTGGCGCTTGGATGCCAACAATCTGTCCGAAGTACCTCCAGCTTTCTCCCCCATCGATCGCGAGCCATGGCATCAGCCACATTCCAACTATCTGCCGAGCTCCAGACGACCATTCTTGGCGAACTCTTCCCAGGTAGTGAACCTGGCCACGCAGCGGATGCATCGGAGGGCCATTTTATCACTACCAACATGGTTTCGGTGCAACCTTTGGAACTTTTGGTACAGCGGTAGATAAGAACAGGCCAAGACGTCAGGTCCACCCTACCAGTTCCTACCAGCGTTCGCTAGCATGCCACGGTCTCAGGCTGCCATTGGCCCGCTGCAGCTCGACCACCGTCGCTGATACGGTGTACACTGTAACTTACACGCAGATGCAGTTTTGCATCCTGCAGATTCGGTATCCCGAGCGGAACAGTTCGCCGTGTCATGCAGCTAGTTCTGACTTGCAGCAGGCTAGGATCGAGTCAACTGCATGTGCTCTGCTCTCAACGCTTTCCACCRGCGTTGAAAAATATCAGGCATGCGCGTCAAACTTCCAGCATCGTTGGAAGTCGGAACCTTTCAGCAAGCAACTGCATAGTCTCCACCAAAGGTACGCTTCAGACCTCATTTGGATCTGGACCATCTCCACCTCTTGTTGACCCACCTCGCTGGATGTCAGCATACTCGCATCTGGAAACAACTGCTCCCTAGAACCCATTCTCCACAACGCTGTGGAGCAGCGACAGCATTCGTGCAGCTTGTCCAGATGCGAGCCAACCGTTCTGTGATGAGCAGGATTAACACAGCCGTGCTGAATGCTGCCATGCGCCACAGCAGCTGCATGATGATCGCACTTTGGGACCTTACCGAACATTCAATGTGTAAGTCGTATGCCATGCCCTTTGGCCTGGTTGAGCATGGACAGCCAATGAAAGTCGGCATCCTCCTTATCCAGATCGCGATGGATTGTCTATCAGATATGTTCTCCTCAATCGTCGGAACACCAAACCCAATATCTGCGTAACATGCTATCTGCTATCTCTCCTCCCAGATCTATGCATTGCATTACTGTGTCACTTCTGTCTTTCTTAAGGTGTCGTGTATCATGTACGACCATCATAGCAGTCAGGACTCGGTGCGTCAGCACATTGGTGAGCGTTACAGCTGCAGCACTTTGTCGTACACGACGTGTTGGCGCTTACTTCTCTCGCACCATTTCCATTCCATGCCCATTTTCTTTCCTCTCCTCTTATCTCCATCATTGCCTGGATTCAATGCAAGAAGGACGTTCAGATGCTGCACCAACAAACTCGTCACTAGCTCGTAACGCCTTTGCTATCAAGCCCACAAAGGTGCAGCTTCGAGATGTTACACAAACTTGTGATACCTCATCAAAAGCATCCGTCGAACTCCGCCGCATGCTTGTTGTGCTGCAGTTGAGATATTTTGTCGCATCATCGTGGCATCGCCAGTCCAAGAAACGAGTGCAAAGTACGCAGGCCCTCCGATCACCATCACGTTGGGATTCATCTTAGCGGCTTCGTATCCTGCTTTGGGACTCCAGTCATCAATCTTGACTCGGAACCGCTCCGCTCGAGCTGTCCCTGTCACCTATAACAGCACAGCTTGCATGCAGACCTTCGCTTACTGTGTACGACGTGGCGACGCTTTTCTCCCTGGGCCACTCGCGAGCTACCCTCATCCACCGGCATGGAACCGTCTCCGTGGTCCAAGGTATCGAGACGTGCAGAAATAACGCAATTCGCTGCGTTGCCGCTCACTTTGCCCATTGTTATCGCCGCCGGTGGAACTGATGAGCTCGAGGAATAGGCGAGTGGCGAGCGACGAGCGGAATAGGAAAGCTCACGTCGTGTCTCGCAGCAACTTTGCCATTCCTACATCACCCGTCTCTCCCCGAGGATGTCAATGGTTGCAGCTCAAAAAAGCACATGACTTGAACCATCGGTATAGTTTGTCTAGTGCAATCAAAGCCACTGTTAGATGAATGATGAGTAGGCTGCTGCCGTGAAGCTACCCCAACCCTAACCCTATATCCAAGGTCGACCTTCGAACTATGATGTGGAACCGAATGTTGAACCGCGTGAAACTAACGAAATCAACCTCTTGAAAAACACGAGGAATCTCTCCTGGGCGGACCTATCCATTCATCTGGTTCAGTGTCACTGAACGCCGACCCCGATGCTCAAAACGCGAAAACGTCATATGTGCGTTGGAAGAGGATGCGTGATCATCAAAAAGGATGTCAGCGACACTTTCAGAATCATACCTGTTCGAGGTCATTTCCCTTTCCTCCATCGCCGAACACGCTGGCTATCTCCCATTGCCGAACACGCTGGCCATCTCCTCCACCGGCCAGCACTCAACTCCGAGTATCTTACGAGCATCACCCGCTCACCCGCTCGAGCAAATCGTCTTCGGCGACGTAGCGGCAGAAGCGTAATTGCTGTACGAAGGAGCTCGTTTTTATTGAAAGCTCACCAAGATTTTAAGATTGCGATGCAAGCTTGTAAATGTGAATGAAATGATCTCTCGTACCGTTCTATACTTCTTAGCATGCTAGAGTTCTCTCCAATAGTAGGGCGTTTGTCCGTAATACAGAGAGGAGAGAAGGCGAAGGGGAAACATCTCAGTTGCGTAAAGTGGCGCTAGCGCTCAATAGAAACGGACTCCTTCGTAGATTGGACATGCTTTAGACCGAGGGTTTTTCGACTGAGTTGCTGTAATTGGATCGATAGAGTCGCAATGGATCTAATAGACTGCGAAGTGTCGGACAGTTAGTGCGTAACATATGATGCTTCGCATCAGAGCTATGAGGACGTCACGCCCCTGGGAATGCGTCGTACTTCTGGGTACTCTTATGAAATGGATGTGAGGTTGGTTCAAGCAAAAGACACGACTTGGATATGTACTTGATTTCTGTTACAAAGTGGTGCTGTTCGAGCTCTCCATCGCCACTATCGCTACCGACGTTGATATGTACTTGGGGTCTGTTACACAGTTGTGCTGTTCGAGCTTATCTCCACCRCCACCGACCTGTTGCAAAGTAGTGCTGTCCGAGCTCATCTCCCTGGTTACGATATGCGTATACTATACCGTCTTCTCTGGTACCTCGAACGTCCACCGGCTTCTAACTAGCTGCTGCTCGTTCTGGCTGTGGGGATCTGGACAGTTCCTCAAGTGCTCTACGGCATGAACAGCGCCTAGTGATCCGAGATCCAGAACGTTGCAGTATGGACAAATAAAAGAGTAGTGTTGAAAGAGATCACCGTGGGCTTGAAGGATATGATCGGCTATATCCCCACGCCTCACCTCCGTAGAGCATCCTTCCTCCTAGCAATGAAGGATATCATCCACAAGTTTGTCCCACTTGTTGAGGATTTCATTCGCGGTAGCCTCGTAGTATGCTTTTGCGTCCTTCGGCCGCGTAATGCACTTCGGAACTGAACCGCAGGTGCATTCATAGTTTGAATGACAAGTCCTGCGTTTTTGACGTTCGGGACGTAGCTCGTAGAGCGAGTGTAATACTGTTATACAGTATTTGTTGCTACAAAGATATAATCGCTAGTATCCGTCTCCAGGCCTGTTTGGATGTCCACAACCTAGAGCTGTCGTAAGAATTGTAAACAGGGTAAGTTGAGGTAAATAATGATCGCCACAAGAAGGACAAACAAGTCCGGTAGGCTATGGAGTGATGCCGTACCGGCTGGTTAAGTCACGTTGAGGATCGTCGATTGATTTCTCGAGAGGCTTAAGTCGGCCGTTGTCTTCTCGCCTCTGTGCTAGCATAGCGAAAGGACTGCAGCCGTATTGTGCGGTAAACGTGTTGTATTTGTCGATGTCGCTTTGCTTGAATTCCCCAGCACTAGGGAACTTAGGCTCCATGCCACTCCTTGTTAACCAGTTAAAGATAGCGAGGTTCGTACAGGTATGGAACGCAGGATGGTTAAGAATTGCGGTTTCACATGAAGGCTTTGCAGTCGTAAGGATTGAATTCCATGTGAAAGTTTCGGTGGCTTTCGACGAAGTTGGGTTTGACGGGTGTATGGTTGAAGGATCCTTAATCACCGTGGCGGTAGCTGCCGACGAACCAGACGGAGCCTTGGTCGAAGCAGATGGAGCATTGGTCACCGTGGCGGTAGCTGCYGATGGGGCAGGTGGAGCCTTAGTAGAAGCAGATGGAGCCTTGGTCGCCGTGGCGGTAGCTTTCGACGAAGCAGGTGGAGCCTTAGTAGAAGCAGATGGAGCCGGCACGATAATATTGTAGCGAGTGCTCGGCTGCTTCGGCTTCACAGTTGTTGATGTGAGCTGCCCGTGTTGATGTGAAGGTTCCTTTGGTACAGGTTGCGGTGGAGGCGGTGGAGGCGAAGGTTCCTTCGATACAACTGGAGGTTGCTTGGATGTCGGCTGCTCATCTCGGTCTCTCCCACCACCACCACCACCACCATTTCCTGCGCGGCGGTATGGTGAGCGTTCTCTTCTCGGTGAGCGTTCTCTTCTCGGTGAGCGTTCTCTTCTCGGTGAGCGGTCTCGTCGACCGCCATCATCTCCTATGTGGTAGTAGGACGAACGATGCCTGCTCGGTGAGCGTTCCCTTCTCGGTGAGCGGTCTCGTCGACCGCCATCATCTCCTCTGTGGTAGTAGGATGAACGATGCCTGCTCGGTGAGCGGGCTCGATCTTGGCCTCTTCCACCGCCATCGTCTCCTTTGCGGTAGTAGGATGAACGATGC